ATCTTACATTATCCACAGTTCTTGTCAAAGATACTAGTTTACCGTCAACATAAGTCAAATGTCTTTAGATATCAATGAAATGGCTAACTGAAAAATTAAGTTAAACATACATTACACAAGAGCTAAATCTGCCTATTTGCAGGTCTTTTTTTTTAGGCCTGAAATGTTATGTAAATTATTAATTAGCCATTAATTAACTTATCCAGACCATAATCAACTCTCGATGTGATCACTAGCCTGAGATATTTACTGGATTAGGATCCGATTTGCTGCTCAACTTTCATTCATGATTAAATCATAATTAATCGAGACAATGTTTTTTATCGTAGTGACTTTAGTAAAGATGATCGAGGCTAGGCCGAAAATTCAATTGCTAAATTCTTGGTTCAGAGTGGATCAATTTGACTGAAATTTTCAGCAAATACCCTTTACATTATCTAATTTTTTACTATTATAGTGAGAACTGCCAGCTCTTTATCTAATCTCCCATAGTAATGTATCAAATTAGATTTGGCAGATGTCTGACCAAGGACATACTCCTTGCAATGTTTCGTTTGATTAGAGCTAATCCCACTTAACACTGCTGTAATGGAAGCAAATTTCTGTTCCAAATTATAATTGGTCAATAGTCAGATTAACAACCAATAGCTAACTGCATAAAAATATCATTACGCTTTAAACAGAGCTCCAAATTTGACCAAATATGTTTACATAACGTTTTGTCACGACTCACGATTTTACTACGCTCAATTAACCAGTGCATAGCAAAATATTGCAGAAAAACTAACTGCATGACAAACGAGGCTATCAAAACGGATACAATCACTGTAAACCAGGTATCATTTAATCTTGTGTATCTAGCACTAATTTCTTTCACATTCATTTAATATCCAATCTTTGTTTAAAAATTTGTAAAAACTGTTTAAAATCACCATGAATCGTTTAATTTGTACTTCTGTCCAGTTTAAAGCTGACCATTCAATTTTGATAATGAGTGTCCAATTTACAATGGAATTTGCCTGTGTGATAAATGATAAAAAGCACTTCCCCAGGTTGTCGACATTGAGTACAGCGTCAAAAGAAGATTGTCCGACATTTGAAAGCAAGACATTTCCAACGATGGAGATCCGATCTAGTCAAAGGAACCTCAATGAGTCTTTGATGAGATTCCTCGTACAGAGTCTTTTGAATTGATGACGTCTGATTTGATTGGGATAACAGTTCAGTTGGCCAACACAGTGTTCGACCAAAATTGGAAGGAATGTCAGACAATGGAGGATGAATGGAGTAGCGATGAAGAGGAACCAGAAGGAATCCAAACACCCACAAAAAGGAAGCATAAATCAGCAGACTACACGTATGTTATGCCAAGCAGAAAAACTATCACGGAATATCTGGAAGATCCCTCGTATATAAACCTAGAAATAGTCGCCAATCATGATGAATAAAGGTGATAATGTGGTATCTGTTGGGCTGGATGACAAAAATAAAGCTGCGTGACACCGAATAATGGATGTGAAGACTGATCATATTACCGTATTGGGACCAGGAATAGAACGGAAGACCTTCACTACTCGACTGGTAGAGAACATATGTCATGGCGGGAAGGAAAGTGCCGACGCTTACAATTTTAAGATAAACAGTCTAGCCATCCTGGCTGATACTAAGCACGACGAAATGAAAAGTCTGGTTGACTTCTGGATAATTGGGCATGCAGTCAGGCTGAACAGATGCTCAAGTGATGCGCCCACATAATTCTGGGTGGGGATAATGCTGTCGACAAAACTTTTTGTGAAGCGGAGCAAAAAAGTCGGACATTCCCAACTGATAGAGTGCGACCGAATTCTGAATTTATTCGCATCATCGAGTGTGCATACCGTGGGAATGATTGCCATATCAAAACTTCTATCGCTGCCTCACTCTTCTCATTCTGTGCCTCTTTATGGGGACTTCACAGACTGGATGCGATGTAAAGTGTACATGAATCAAGGGTTTCGTGGATTCACTACTAATTGTTTCGGTAGGATAGCAGAGCTTGCCAAACAATTCCTGCTGATGAGAGAGCAAATCCATGAGTTTTAAGACGAGTACGTGGACACAGATGCCAACAAACATGTCCTGGCAGTCTCAACATTCATTAGGAGCCAATGGTTTATATGCTGCACTGAAGTATATAGCCTTATTGGAGATACAATCATCTTCCCTATAATGTAACTCTTGGGCATGTATACTGACGAGCGTCGAGAGGACAGAAACTGTGTTTGGAGAGTTTTCTTCAGAGAGAAAATCGCCAGGCTCACTGCACTCTCAAACAGATTCTCGGAGACGTCGCCAGGCTCACTGCACTCTCAAACAGATTCTCGGAGAAGACGACTAGTAAAGGAAAACTCAACAATGCGGCAGATTCCAGTAAACTAAAACATACACACACTTTCTGCGGCAACAATGCGGAAGGTTCCAGCAAAACAAAATACGCCCCCTTAACGAACTTAGGGTGTGAATCGCAATTCGCAAGACTTGACAACCAAGTTCGTTACTCTGGCGGAATGACCAGTGTGGCAACTTATTCCAAGAATAGTATTGTTGCCATGAATGGGTTTCTAGTTGAAGCAAATTGCATCCGCTCAACAGACGAAGAACAACGATGAAAATGGAAGTGGGCATGGCAGTCGGACGAAGTTTCAAAAGTTAAAAAACTTGAAAAGGATTTTCTTGAGAATGTTCGCCTTCTGTAATAGTTAGTGTTGGGAAAGAAAGAAGATTTAAAGAAAAACAAGCTATTGCCATGCAAGATACGCCCACATTTTGCAAGAGATGGACAGAGTACGAGTTAAAAAAAAAAATAATGTGATTTTTTTGTACAATCAGGGGCCATAATCCAAGAAGATGTGGTCCGATATGCGCGAATATCGAAACGAACTGAGATCTTTGGGTTATGAACATACATTACTGTGTACGACACGACGAATAAATGAATTCCTGACATGACCAGTCAGTAGAATCTTCTATTCACCCTCTCGGCATATGTTGCCGCCTTTTTAAGTGACACGTTTTTTTTTTCTATTTGTACCGTCTTCTGCGACTTCTTTTGTTCTTTTTCGTCAATATAATTATCACTATATATATGTTAAAATATTATGTACAGGAATTGTTATACCTGTGAATTGTAATCTCTTGCCAGTATTGGATTTTTAATTAGCAGTTAAAGCTGTAGGGGTAAGTCAGAACACGGGAATGTCTTACTCAGCCCAACCGCGTAACTAATATCAAAACTAATGACTTAGTAAGTGTTGTTTATTGCCAATTTAAATGATTTATTCCAACATCTCTTTAGCACAAACTCAACGAAATGTACTCGGAACGCAGTACAGACATTATCATTATAGAATTTATACGGCATCCGATTAATTGGCACCGATACAATTTTTGGCTGGCCGATTAACCGAGTCAAGAACTTTGTAATCGTGACAACACTAATTTCAAGTTTCATCAAAATCGAATCAAAATTGTGACCTCTAGAGAGTCCACAAGATAAAAACATGATTTTTTTAACAATTAGGGGCCATAATCCATGAAGTTATGCTCCGATACATGCCAATATGGAAAGGAACCAAGATCTTTGGGAGATAGACCTGTATTTCAAGTTTCGTCAAAATCGGATAAAAATTATGACCTGTAGAGTGTCCACAAAAAAATTGCGGACAGACAAACATGAAAATGTGGGCATATAAAAATACATCACGGCTGTTGGCTGTCCTGGAAACTTGTAAGCAGCATGGTAGTCCAGTGATGGCTTCCAATGTACAACTCCCGGACCGACTCAAAGTTAAAGATCTTATATCTGAAATAACGTACTTACGTGCAACAGTCCCACCAATTATACAGCAAAAGCGTTGCATGATGGTGGATAATGGGAGATACTGATTCATTACGTTCAGTAGAGACAAACTGATTCTATCAATTAAGGACATGGTCAAGCAAGAGAACCGAGTACATGATAATATAGACAATCTTTTGAAGCTCGCATTGGGCAATAATATGTAAGACAAAGATGTGCTTCCGACTGATCAGTCGAAGATGGAGCATGAATACTATAAATGTAAATAATAAATGATTCTCAGCATTATGACGTGTTAATAAATGTGTCTGCTTGATGTTATGGGATTCCAATCGGGATCTAACAGCGTCGCGACAACTGATATAACAATACACTGTTTCTTGTTTGAGCTTAGGACGAATTTGACATCATAAATGAATTCGTTGAGGTTGATTTCTTATACGAACATAATACATTCATCGGGTCTAAAATGTACCATAAAGGCATTATCCAGGGTTTTCAAAATATTCCAGCTAATTCAGCCGCTATATTGAAAAATGGCTCTGCCCCATAGTAAAAAATAAAATAAAATTCCATGATTTTCATCAATCAAGTCGTTTTAGACATATTTTTGCTTGTGCTAATGCCACTATTGCATCGACAAATGTGATTGCCCCAACCCTAATAGCATTACCATTCCACAGAATCTAATTACTCTAAACGACTAACTGATTAGGGGGTTGATTCCCATACCGCCGACTTGCCGAGTTTTAGGTGAAAAATTCTGGTCGGTGTTAAGGGGTTGAGTGGCCAAGAACAAGACCCAAGCTGAAGGATAAAACTAATTAAGCAGATAATATTGGGAGCATTTATTTTTTAAAATTTTTTAACATCCTTTAACAACCTTTATTCTTCCTTGTTCATATCTATGTTTCGAATGTGAGTTGAATTATGACAAAATTCAAGTTCATGTAATTTAAGTGAAATATATTCATTTTTATTAATTAGTGAGTGAGTTGAATTCTGATAAAAATCAATTTAAGTGAACTATATCAATAACGACTGGTCCCTGCCTCATTAACACTTTTAATCTGTTTTTACCCATCAAAGAGTGCCGCGGTCAACCTTCCAAATTCTGGTGAGTCGGCGATATGGGAAGACCCTGATTAGGACATGTTAAATCTTACCTTCCAGATTTAATCTTATTATTAGAAGACAAGTGATTATTGGCCATATTTTGACTGTTTAAAAAGTTCTCTATTAATTTCTGTTCATATTCTTGATGTTTTCTGAAAAAAGCAAAACATTTTATGATAATTTCTACTGCAGTGTGTGTTGTAACAACTAAGTAAAGACAATAAATGACTAAAAGAATATGACTGCATTCATGGCTAAAAGAATATGACTGCATTCATGAAAAAAACAGCCAGTGGCTGCCAGGCAGGATATGCCCACTTTTTGCAAGAGATGGATAGAGAACAAGCTAAAAAAAAAAAAGCAAAAAAAAAAGCGATTTTTCATACAATCAGGGGCCATAATCCAGAAAGTTATGGTCTGAAATGCATAAATATCAAAGTGACTGATAAAAATTGTGACCTCTAGAGGGTCCACAACTTTCATATTACATACTCTTACACAATTTCCGTACAAAGAGCAGCCATTTTGTCAGGCTGTTTCATTTCGATTTTCCCCCAAAATACCAATTCAACCTTCATTAAGGTGGAACGATTATATATTTTTACAGTTTTTAAAATCAGATAAACAAATTGTGACCTCTAGAGAATCCACAAGCTAAAAATGTGATTTTTGGAAGTTACGTTTGGATATGCCCAATTATCAAAAAGAACCAAGATCTTTGTGATATAAGCTTAAACATACATTATGCAAGAGCTAAATCTGTCTATTGCAGGTCTTTCTTTAGGCCTGAAATGTTATCTAAATAATTAATTAGACATTAATTAACTTATCCAGACCATAATCAACTCTAGATGGCATCGCTAGCCTGCGATCTTAAGTGGATTGTGAGCCGATTTACTGCATAACTTTCCTTCTCGATTAAACGATTAAATAGATAATCGAAACTATGCTGTTTATCGTACTGACTTTAGTAATGATGACCGAGGCTAGGCAGAAATTTCAATCGCTTAGTTTTCAGTTCATAGTGGATCAATTTGAATGAAATTTTCAGCAAATTGCCTTTGCGTTATCTAGTTTTTAACTATTATAGTGAGAACTGCCAACTCGTTATCGAATCTCCCATAATATATCTTTAAATATAAAGTTTCATCAAAATCGTATACAAATTGTGGCCTCTAGAGGATCCAGAACCTTGATATACCATATATTTACACTATTTGCCTACAAGGGGCGGCCATTTTGGTCTGATTTTCACGAAATTCGAAAGAAATGAAATGAAATGGGGTTTAACGTCCTACTGTTCTGCTACAAACAGGGCCATACAGTTTGCTACGGGGAAAATTTTGCCTGGACAGCGGCACTACAGCCTACTTTTATATCGAATTTCAACAGGCAAGGGATCTTTTACGTGCACGCCAATGTGTACACAGGACCTCCGTTCTGCGTCATTGATAAGGGGGACCCACGCCAGAAAATCTGCGAAATTCGAACTCAACCAACATTATTATGGTGTAACAGTGATATATTCGAACATTTTTTTTTAAATCGGATAATAATTGTGACCTTTAGATGGACCACAGGCTAAAAACGCTATTTTTCGTACAATCAGGGGCCATAATTTAGGAAGTTACGATCTGATATGCGCAAATATCGAAAGGAACCCAGATCTTTGGGTTATAAACATGCATTTCAAGTTTCATCAAAATCGGGTCAAAATTGTGACCTCTAAAGTGTCCACAACCTTGATATACCAGATGTTTACATTATTTGCATACGTGGGCGGCCATTTTGTCCAGCAGCTTTGGTTCGATTTTCACAAAATTCTAATTCAACAGACATTATAGTGTAACGGTGGTATATTCGAACGTTTTTTTAAATCGGATAATAATTGTGACCTCTAGAGGGACCAAAAGCTAATAATGTGATTTTTCTTACAATCAGGGGCCATAATTCAGGAAGTTACGATTTGATATGCACAAATATCGAAAGGAACCAAGATCTTTGGGTTATAAACATGCATTTCAAGTTTCATCAAAATCGGATCAAGCATTTCAAGTTTCATCAAAATCAGATCAAGCATTTCAAGTTTCCTTAAAATAGGATCAAAATTGTGACCTCTTGAGGGTCCACAACCTTAATATACCAGATGTTTATGCTATTTGCGTACAAGGAGCGGCCATTTTTCCGGCATTTTTGGTCTGATTTTCACGAAATTCGAACTCGACCAACTTTACGATGATATTTCAAACGTTTTTTTTAAATTGGATAATAATTGTGGCCTCTAAAAACGTGATTTTTCGTACAATCAGGGGCCATAATTCAGGAAGTTACGATCCAATCTGTGTTATGAACATGCATTTCAAGTTTCATCAAAATCGGGTGAAGATTGTGACCTCTAGAGTTTCAACAAGCTAAAAACGTGATTTTTCGTACAATCAGTGGCTATAATCCATGAAGTTAGGGTCCGATACATGCCAATATCGAAGGAACCGAGTTCTTTGGAAGATAGACCTACCTATATTTCAAGTTTTGTCAAAATCGGATAAAAATTGTGGCCTCTAGAGTGTCCACAAACAAATTGTGGAACGACGGATGTCCGGAAAGCGGCGATGGCATAATACATCCACATGAAAATGTATAAACACTATTCAATATTTTCACACGTACCCCATTTGCATTTCCTCTTTAGTAAAACTAGCAGCTTCTTCACCAAGTTCATGTAAATACATACAATCCTGAAACATTAACAATAAAAGCTACATTGCTTTAAAACCCTATTACTATCGTGGCTATTAGGACTCTACAGAAAAAGAAGATACTTCAACATTACATGAAAACAAAAATCAGTGTAGTTCTCAATACATGTCCCAGTTTTAACTAATGACAGTAATTAGAAGCTACCAGAAAATTATTTGACAAGTTGTCAGAGACAATGGTTCAAGAGAGAACAATTGAAGTAAGAAAGGATAATGGTGACTTTAAAATCCTAGATACAGCGTAATCTTTGAAAAAATACATAAAACAAATACTACTTACTGATTTAAGACACTGTGTTCCTTTTAGGAAATGACTACAGTATTTGGTTGTACCCAAGGAAGCCTTTAAAGTTCTACCATCTACATGGATATTATTAACATGCATGATAGCTTTTAAAGCATCTTCTGATTTATAATATGTAACATACCCACTAGCACTAGGCCCCTAAAATACATTTAATTTTTTATATTATACATTCAAATACATAAACTTTCCATCAATGCTAAATTACGGATAACTTAAGAAGAGTAGGCCTACATACTAAAAACGTTTTTTCATTAATTCAAGGAAATTAACCATTCAGGATGAAGTGCTCGCCAGACGATAAATTCACTCACATCAGCTAAGTTGCCCCAACCCTCTACAAATGTTTTATATATTTGATATAGAAAAGAAGTATTGATAATCAGATATGATAACTCTGTCTAGTAATATACATGTACATAAACACTGCATAAAACTGAAATCAATCAGATCATACCTTCCGCCTCAAAAGAGTCCACAAGAATTTTCTAATTGACCTGGTGATTCTCAACCAGTGTGGTGCAAAATTTGAATGGCACACTAAGAAAATACGAAAAACCATGTGATCCCAATTGAGTATTCACTGGTGTCTACTGGAAAGTTCATAGCTGTGTTTTTCTTTATTTGGTTTGAGTCATTCTACGTATCTATGACTAGTCTGTGTCTACGGTTGGATGCCGTCTGACTTATCATGTTTTTATTTTGCAAAAATTCAAATATTTTTTATATATATTTAGCGAGGTGTGAAATTGGCAAAAAGGGGTTGAGAACCACTGCTTTAGAGCCTCAAGTAGTTTTTAAAATTTATCAAGGGCATTAAATCAGACAGTACTTATCGAAAATTGGTGAAAATCAATAAGCATTTTTGGCTCTTGTACTTCAACACTGTGTATAAATTTCAAGTGAATGAGATGATGACTTTAGCCTCTATTACTCCACAATATTTTTGAAATTGGTGAAGGGCTGATAACTTTATCTAGAGTATCCACAAACAACTGTGGCTGACAAACCAGAGTGGATATTTAACAAATATAAAAAGACATTTCCACTGCATTTGACAATATATCTGTAAATCCTGACTGACTGAAAGTAAATAATCATAATAAAGAACCACAAAAATGTTAATCACTTACTGATGCTTGGGAACCAGCATAGGAAGTACTTTGATTAATCACAACTTTATGTATTTTGCCAAACTTGCCAAAATATTCGTGTTTTTTCAAAACCTCTGCTTCTGCTATTCTTTGTGATAACCCGACCACAAAGACCAAATTTTTTTGTACGACTCTAAAAAAATAAAATAGATAAAAGATTTCAGATGAAATTAATATTTCATAAAAAGAAAAGTACCTTCTGGATGTATAACTTTTAACATAGTCCTCTATCAAACATGATTTCCATGTTACGGTACCTTAATATGTTTTCTCAAATAACATTAGGCCACACAAAATAAATGTCTTGTTTCTCGGGCAACTGACAGCTGAAACTGTAGGGAGGGAGGGCGGTTTCTTTTTTTTTTTTACTCATTGATGGTGCAAAATAAAATTTGGCTATTGCTGAAAATTGTTGGGGCGGGAGGGCGGTCTTTCTTTTTTTTTTTTTTTAAATGAGAAAGTCATTACTTGTTTACGTTTTTGCTTTCCGTTATATTCAACTTTATTGTACATACTTAAAACATAAACCCAAAATCAAGTCTACTAAAACACTGAGACTGAACACTGACTGAAAGGAAAATAATTTTCCATATTTAATTCACATAATTGAAATTGGTTTAAAATAAAATTCCATACGACTATGTAATAGCCCTCCATAAAGACAACAATATTTTTAAAAACTAAGCCTCTTTCACCAGGTGTATCAAAAATAATAATCATGGTAAACAGTATTTAAAACTAAATCTAGTATCGCCGGTTTATTTATAATTATTTACCGAATTCCAACCAATGCATGTCACACCGTGTCATCGGTATTGGAGATTGCCGGAAATACTGTTTCTTGGGATATTCGGTGTGTTTCTCAGGATATTCGGTGTTCTATCCGGTGTTTATATTGAATGACTATTTAAATCTAACTAACAACTGGTCAGTAAAACCATCAAATCGGTAATCCAATTATTATTTTCCGGATTATCGAAACTACCGTAAATGTGCTAATAATGACCCAGATTCTAAGGTATGCATTATGACGACTATGTTCATCGTATCGTATTCTTAGCTATAATTAATTAACCTGTTCTACGGTTCATTATTTTATCAATAGGATTTTCCAAACAAGGACCGACTGAAGCCGGCAATAATGAGCCGATTACGATCGAATGATTGAAATATTGTCGCCAATGACTTTTAACACGAATCAAATTCTAGTTTATCAGGGGAGGTAATTAATATCACGTGATACAAAATGGAGGTTCTTTCGATATCAATAAAAAAGGCAAATCTGCCAAACTTCGCCATTGTACGGATAAAAAAGACAGCATGTTCATCTGAATCAGTTTTAATACATTTGAATAGATATACATGTATGGCGGATGTAGGTACATGCGGGATATTTTTTTTACGACTTGCTTGTCGATGTGCGGGCGGGCGTTACATATTTATTTTTTTTCATCAAGACTAATAAATAGACTGCACGCGCAACCAATTTTGCGTGCGGGCGGTGCCCGAGAAACAAGTTATTTTATTTGTGTTGCCTTATCAGTATTTAATATTATCTTACCTAACATTTGCCAAATGTTTTCTGTTTTCTGCTGCTTTTTGTTTTTTCTGAACATCTTTCTGTCGTCTTTCTCTTTTGATTTTCAGGAGTCTTAAATATGACACAAAGTATAATAAACACATATCAATACATTCACGCGAGAGTATTTATAGGGTAGTAATATCAATCAAATATACATGTACCGCCATATCCGTATGGCATATTTCGTACATAGGCAAGATAGAAACACACAATCTTACTAGATAAGTACCGAATTCCTGAAAAACACCTATGGGGCGCCCACATGACAAAAATGAAAGGGTGTCATGAACTGACAGACTGTCTACATGAGTGACGTAAGGAAAGCTTTTAATGTGTTGATTTCATGGCCGACAGTTGTGAGAACGTTGAGAGACTTAAAGTTCTGTATCAAGTTACGTGACAAACAAGGCTTCTTAAAATAGATTCTTGTGACATGGGGTAGTTTTCTTGGGATTAAAATGTTTTGATATGGATTTGAAGCTAAATTTTTTTGGGGGGATATGTTTTATTCCAAATATATCATCAAATCACACTGTGGGAAGGTATCTTTAAATATACATTTATTTCTTGTATGTTTAATTTGTATTCCATTATTATTGTGACTAGATAATTCTGGGAAAAGTAATTAGCAAAACGAACTAAATATTCAAAATAATACTAGTTAAATTTGTTTCAACATGTCAAAGGAACCTACATATCTTCTGTAAGAGGTTTAAATTCAGCAGGATCTTCAGGATATTGCTAAAAATAGAAATAGTAATGGTAATTTAAATGCACTTTCTGATCTAAGCATACACATGCCCCAAATAATTAGAAACAGTGTGACGGACAGACAGATTGACAAATACTTTTCAATGGTTATTTGAAAGGTGGGTAACAAAAATAAAATACCATAACATCTCTAAATTACACAATGTTGCACATAAAGTATTGTGTGCATTTTACTTAATTTTGTACATCAAGTGCAATACACAAAACTTAAATCAAAATACTAGTACATTATTGGTTACATTGTATTCAATAATTCCAGTTTACGATTATATACATTACCGGATGTTGACTTTGAATGTTGTGAATGCATACTAAAATGACTAAAATATTAACTTTCGCTTCTGATATTTATTGAAATATGTACATCTAGGAATTGTGAATTAATATCAATCTCTAAGGATGTGACCGTTGTTCCAATTATGTAGTTTGGCGTTGACTTGTAATTGATGTGCAACTATTTAACAGTATTTGTAAATTACCTTTCTACAAGCTGGACACAGACCATTTTCATCTGTTCGTATCCTGTGCCAGCAGAATCTACAAATCTACAACATAAAACACAACAAATTAAACATATCACTGGTTTTAATCTATATAATACAGTCCATAGATTGCAATTAAAAAAGAATATTGTTTAATATCCAGAATATGTACAATACAAATCCACTTCATCAGGGCCTGGGTTCCTAACCCTTTTCATCAACCAAAGTTTTGAATTATAATTCTATAAATGGTTGTGTATAGTATCAATCACTAGAACAATGGTATCGTTTAGAACAGGGGTTTTAGCGCATGAAAGTATGCATATGTAGTTTACTTTCAAACATCATTCGATAATTGATAAAAATCGTTTAAGAATTACAAAAATGGTCAGTTCATCCCACAGCCATTTCACATCGGACTGTTTCATTCCAAGCTATTTTTTTATCGGGCTGTTACATCCCCCTTGTTATTATAATTAACTGAGTTGTACTTATCGTTAAATAAACTGTTAAACACTTACTTATTGTTAAATAAACAATAATGTATGGAATAAATAAGTTTTACTCATTGATTTTTTTTGATTACCGATCACGACCGGGATTAGTTCACCACTGTATATTCGTATTGTATGTTAATTGGCGTTATGATTTTAGATTTTAGGTCAGTTCACCAATGTTTTTGTAGTAAAGTATATTCGTATTGTTTTTATAATTGATTTTAGATTAGTTCACCGATGTTTTTGTAATAAAGTATACTCGTATTGTTTGTTAGTTTATGATGTCTAACATCATTTATCTTCTTTATAAAAAAGGTACTTTATAATTACATATTGACAGCTTAATCACTCGCCAAAATACATCATGGACTCTACGTATTACCCAATAATCAACTAAATTGCGCAGGGACCCCCAATCAAGTGATTACACTGTCTGAAAATAGGCGACAGCTTGTCTATAGAGATTGACAGTTACTTTTTTGGGGCGCCAGTCTAATGTACAGTCTCGCGAGATTATCGCACTGCCATTGTGAGCTTGACTTATGACCACGTGTACAGATGGAAGACTAGTTAATTCATTTGTGATTTAAAAAAGATACATTACCTGGGATGTGATTTACCGATTTCCAATTGTATAATTACCTGGGACGTCATTTACCGAATTTTGGATGTATTTGTCAATTGTGGAATACTAATGTTAGGATAATGGATAATATATAATACTACGACCACAGTAAGGTGATCATCTATGGGTGTGCATTTTTTTATATTCACTTTTTTTATTCGTACTTCATATGTAAATAATCGTAATCAAAATGAACCGATCGGATAAACAGCTCGCGGGAAATTAAATGGTTCATCTAATAGTTCAACACCATAAATAAATTAATCGTGTGTTGATTTTTCAACGTATCTCGGCAAAGTAAACGGCTCGTCTAATAAATCAACGCCATAAATAAGTGAATGGGTCGTCCATTTATGGACGCCTCTCAGAGAAACTTAACCCGGAACGCCTCTCGGAGAAACTTAACCTGTTATCATTAAACTAAGCCATAGTACTAACTAAACCATTTTTGTAATTCTTAAACGATTTTTATCAATTATCAAACAATGTTTTGAAAGTAAACTATATGCATACTTTCCAGTGCTAAACCCCCCCGTTTTAAACGATACCATTCTTCTAGTGAATATGTAGACATACAATCCGTTTATGGCTTTTTTACTAAGTACGCATACAAACTGTTTACAGCCTTTTTATTACGATTTATTCTATACGATTAATTTTATTTTTTTTCAGATTTGCGCGAGTACTGAATTACTTGCGTTAATTTAACTTTATGCGAGCGTAGCGTGCAACTTGTACATGTAATTACTCGCGTCTTGTGGCAAGCCCTGTTTTCTTTAACAGTTCAGCTATAAAAATGATTATTCTTTATTACAGTATTGATATTCTCTACTAAACCTACCTGATATCCACATGTGCACGGATAAAAGTTAATATCATCTATTTCTAATAATTCCATACACAGAGGACACTGAAAAATAAGTAAAATACGAATGAAACAGTTTGGAACATATTATGAATATACATGTAATAACGTTAACACTTGTTAAATTATTAATTAAATGTAACAAACTTCATCCAAATTGACAGCAATTCATCTTCAATAACTGGTTCAACATGGAAAACATTAATGGAGGGGTGGCTTAAAACTAACCTCAACTTGTTCTTCTCCAACAGACATTTTTTTAATTCCCAGCTTGACGAAAGCAGACCTGTTGCTATCACTGTGAATTTAAAAAAATCATAATTTTAAATGTTGACGAGGGGTATGTTAAAGATGCCTTAAAAGAAGGTCAGTATTTGAAATGTAAATAATTAGGGGAGTCAAACATTTAACCCGACATTATTCAAAACGAATTACAATTACATCTATTTCCTTGGTGAGACTGATACTGCATCTTTAAACCACCAGACCTACATGAATAGTTGAGTGCTAGGGTGGAGGAGAATGACCAATCCCTCATAGGAAGCTGTCTGCAGATTTTAATTCAGGTTCTGTTCTGGTCAATAATAATCCCCCTTCCCCCCACCCTTCTCCTTTATCAGATTTATATTTCTTTTCAAATAAGCTTATAAGTAAGTGAAAACATTAAAATTATGCTTATACAATATTTATTCAGTTTAATAATTGAATATGTCTCACGTACAATGTAATTGCTTTTTCTTCTTTATATAATTTAACAATATTTAACAGGCCAAAATTATGACTGTGACAAACATGTCTTTGTCCTCGGACGCCGAAAATTATGAAAAAGTAACTTTTAATTTTCTTTCTTTGAAGTTTCTTTTAAATCTAACACAGAGCACTTTGTTTTTAATTTTCACAATTTATGAGTTAGTACTTCTAAGACCTACTTATTGGGTATTTTGTTTTTATTGTGATGTCAATACTATATTTAGATTATCATAAGGAAGGATTTATTTCCTTATTACTTCAGCCAAAAAAGCTTTGAGTAATCTGTATTCTGAATATTCCGAATTACGACATCAATCACACGATTTCCATTGAATCAACATTGTATATTCCGGCCTTCAATCAGTGGGTGTGAAGCCACAAAAGATTAACAAGCAATCATCAATTGATTGATCAATTATTGGTAAGATTAAAACTTGCTCGCATAGGTCTTTGAGGATTACTTTGATAATTTCATAATCTCTTGTAAGAGGACGCTTGGTATTTGATTTTAGTTTCTCATGTCAAATACAGCGACATTATATAAAAATTGCTGTGATGTCTCATTTGATTAACGATAATTGATGAATGCAGCAAAGCCAGTGATTTAGTAAAGGATATAACTGTTCTAGATGCCATATTATATTGGACTGTGAAAGCATGGCGGGAAACAACAGAATCAACAGTCATCAGTTGCTTTAATAGATGCAGATTTGACGTACGTATCTCCTGACGATGAAGAGGACAGTATACCACTTGCTAGACTCATGGAGTCCTTGGTGCCCGAAACAAATGCGACCGAAGATGATTTTATCAATTTTGACAATGAAATTCTGACAGAGCGTGATCACGACTTAGACATAGAACAACAAATTATCAATAACATGTAACAGCAAAGACAAGAGGGAGATGGAGACTATGAAGAAGATAAATTAACGACAGACTTGACCTATTCAAAATGCCTACGCTGACGCAAAATAAAAACATTCGCACAGATTCAAGACGATGCGATGGTAAACAAGATCCGAGTTCTAGAGGATTGCGTCCAGGACTAGGTGTTACGTTATGCATCCGAAAAACAAAAGCAAAAAACTTTAAATGATTATATGAATATAAAATAAATTGTAAATATGCATCGTTATTGTGAGATATTTTAATGTAATAAAATTTTGAAATGTACAGAAAGGTTTATCATTTTTGAGGATTCGAAGCTACATTATAATAATACTTCCGGTTTTCGAAGTTACAATAATACTTCCGGTTTTGAGAAAACTGAGTATTCCGACATGTCGGATTTGACAGAGTCCACTGTAGTTAGAAAACATGGAGTTTCTCATTAAAAGGGGAGTAACTCAATTCCTACAAAAGTGCAGTAAGTAATTAAAGCTAACTTTACGCGGCATTGTATCTTTTTTTTTTTTACTTTGACTTGAGTACTGGTAAGCTTATTGTAGTAATGTTACATTCTACAAGAAATCTTTCAAAAACAAACAGCATTTTAAAATTAATAACTAAAATACATGTGACTGTTAAGTCAAAGAATATGTGATCATCTAGGTCTCATGTCAACTCACTGTGTATTCTTAATATAAGTACCGGGTAGGCCCCTATATATAACAATAGAAGAAATAAATGAAATGTTTTTTTTTTTAATGTGTGACTTTTCCATGACCATGGGCCTAATGAAGAAAAAAAAATACCAACTTCATTAATGTAAGTTGTATAATGTTACTAATAATTAACCAGGCATATTATTACACCCACATGTTGTAAATAATGATAAAATGCATATTACTAGCACAGCTGCCTGGTGGTGGTGGTGGTATATGAAATCACTGACAATGTTTTACTTTGTAAATCGAACAGCTATTTTGCCAAATGAATCAATGTGCTGCACAAATAAAATAACTTTAAATATTTGCTAATAATCGGGCTATAATTCATAAATCTATCATAATCTATCATTCTGATCAAATAAGTTGATTCCTGGATGAAAATACCACCATCATTCATTCGACTCATTTGACATAATAATCATCCACATCACTCGGGATTTTAGGCGTAACTTTAGAGTGACTTTTAGAACATCAGTTATCCCCAAGTCCACATTAAATACATCTATACAATTAAAGTCATCGATAAGTTAAATTATTTAATAAATCGTTTTCAAAAGTATTGTTTACATAATTTGACGTTTGGCAGGAACCCAGACCGACAGATGAAACGACTTCAAGTTATTTGACCTATCAGAATTTTCACAGTAAAATGTCGGTAAACCAAGGACGTTAAGTTGTCAAATAATATACATGATAACGTCCAAGTTCGTCGATATTTCAATCTTTACGATAAACTTAAAGGTTTATTTATCGTTCTTGTCAAGTCTTTATTGACTTGACAATTCCAGTACTTACAAAAATTAATTATTTCTTCCAATCCCGACCAAGTACTCGACGACGACACAAATTGATCGTATGCGCATAAAATTGACGCAAGTTGCCCGGATGACTGGATAAAATAGCGAGGTCTCGCGAAAATATACGAGATTTTGTAATATGTACCTAAAGTAAATAAAAACAGAACTGTGTATTTTGGGGTTAATTAATAATATTAATAATCTTCGTTTCCTTTACTATGTCATTCAAACGAGAAGGCGACAATAAAGAGCAGTTACAATTGTTACGCGTGAGTTTATTTTCCTAATGTCATAATGATACTGAAGATAAAACTATATCCTCTAAAAATGAAAAATTATCTAATCAGTAATCTTGTCTTGGTCAGCCGCAATCAATAATTTAACTTAGGAACTCCAAATAAATCATGTTCATTTGCTAAATAAAGAGAATATAAAGAAATCCCTCGAATAAAAATTTAACTCCTTCTACCACATATCCTCTAACTCCAATAACAGCAAATTACGTACATATTTCATCTCAAAACCTACTGTTGCCAACTCTCTAGACTATTTATATTCGGTTAAAAATAAGAGACCTAAAGCCAAAGGCTAAAGAAAGCTATGATGACCACACTTACTGACTTAGACTCAGTAAGCCTACGCATCACTTAGAAATAGAGAGGGGCCGATACCAAAAATTCCTGTTGATCAGCGTCTATGCAAATTTTGCGATTTAAACTCGATCGAAAACGAGCAACATGTAGCAAGTATGAAGAAATACGCCAAGCCCATTTAATTTATACCCAGCCTTCTCGGCAAATCCTAAGATTTCCTACAATTTTATTAATCTCTTTACACCACCAAAATTGGTTGCCAAGGCAGTGGCTTTATATGTATTTTTGGCTTTTGATAAGAGACTCAGAGAGCTAAATCAAATTTGGTGGCAACTACAGGTAACTGAAACCCCTTCCATTCACTTGATTGGTTATTTGTTTATTTGGTGCAATGTCTATTTTCTGTCTTGTCCGCAGGTTTATCTTGTAGATTTTAGTTTTGCGGTCCTCCTGCACTTACTATTTGATATACATGTACAGTTGTACATCTAGTATACTGTTTGTATGAATGTATTGAGTTGTCTATGTAATATGTATTATTGAATGTATATGACTATGTCTAAGTGTATATGTATGCATGCCGTCCTTCATGGAGGTTTTGATGCAATAAACATCTTATCTTATCCTATCTAATGATTACTCATTAATCACTCGCCAAAATACATCATGGACTCTACATATTACCCAATAATCAACTAAATTGCGTAGGAGCCCCTTTTAAAAAAGACAAATTAGATTGATATTATTTCGAAACCAACCATAATTAATTTTAAAACACGTTGATTTAATTGCGGTACACGAAATGAAACTAAACAACTCGAAATAAAAGAATTTCGAATAGGAATCAATTTAGAATACCAAAATGCGAATCGTAATGTGGTCTAAACTGTGTGATAAATTATTAAATAAATCGTAAATAAATGGAACCTGTTGTAAGGTTGACACTGCATGCTTTCTTTCAACATTGGGTTATTTGAGGCACCTGGTAGTCTGAACTGAACATCTGAAGATAACACGTGTCGAAATAGTGGCTACGTGCAATTTTATTCTTTGATCTGTTTTTTCACGGGCAATCCTGTTATAGTGAAACCAACATGCATGAAAATGACTATATTACAAGATGAAGGTTTTGTTATGAGCATCGCTCGATTGTAAGCGATGTAATTTTAGTGAAATTGGTGTCGAGAATTGGTGTGGATTTGGAAAATAAATTTATACACAGTGTTTAAGGTCATGAGACAAAGAAGCCTATTGATTTTCAACGATTTTCAATAATTACTGCTAGAGTTATGGCCCTTTATCACTTCAAAAAATCTTGTGGATGCTCTAGAGGTCAAAGTTAATATCCAATTTTCAGCGATTTCCAATAATTACTGCCAGATTTATGGCCCTTGATTACTTCAAAAAATCTTGTGGACACTCTAGAGGCCAAAGTTAATATCCGATTGACTTTAAATTTATATACTGTGTTTAAGGTCATGAGACGAAGAAACCTATTGATTTTCAGTGATTTCCGATAATTACTGCCAGAGTTATGGTACTTGATCACTTTGAAAATTCTTGTGGACGCTCTAGAGACTAAAGTTAATATCCGATTGACTTTAAATTTATATGCAGTGTTTAAGGTCATGAGACGAAGAAGAGCCTAAAGATTTTCAGCGATTTCCAATAATTCTTGCCAGAGTTATGGCCCTTGATCACTTTAAAAAATCTTGTGGACGCTCTAGAGGCTAAAGTTAATATCCGATTGAATTTAAATTTATACACAGTGTTTAAGATCTTGAGACGAACAAGTATATTGATTTTCAAGAATCTTTATGACTTGAATAGCTAAATCCATGATGTTAAAAGTTTTGTATACTGAACGTTAGCCTGGGGCAGAACTTTATAAAAACCAAACAAATTCTAATGGTTTTCTGATAATTACTTAATGAGCTGTTACTCTTAATCAGATTTTAATGTATTATAAATGTTTCATTACCGAAAAAAGTAAAAATATGTGACAACTCTTGTTGACTGGCTGGACGATATAGCTGCTGTGGGCGTATGTTTCGTTGCCTGGCAACCTATCTTTAAATTTGTGGGATGACAGAAACAGAAATAAGTGGGATGAAAGGACCCATGTAAATTTGGGATGAAACAGCCCGAGATGAACCGGTAATGGGATGAAATGACCTGCTTCCGTCCCTGCAGGGTTCAATCTTTGACAGTTGGAATTTAATTGCAAAATTTCCCCCCCGCACACACTTTATGGTGTATGCCTGTCTTCATTATCCTGGTTTGTGCAGAAAACTATAATGTTATAAAGCATGTATTATAAGGTCCATGTATGGTTAAACCCCATTTCAGTTTCCTTCATTTCTTTGTCTGCTATGCATAGTCTTGATTTTAAATGAAATAAATTGGGGTTTAGCGTCATTCTACTGTTCTGCACCGACTGGGCTAATGAAGTGGGCATACATCAATTATGAAGGAAATTTTGCTGGTACAGCAGTACATGCTACAGCCTACTCTTATTTCGAATTCCAAATGTCAACTTGGGTTCTTTTACATTCATGGTAAATGTGTACATGGAACCATAGATTTTTTGTCCTTTCTGAACATCTATACTTTGTCCCTAACCACTGACAAGGGGGAAACCATGCCAAAAAATCCTGATGAACGTTCTCAACCAACACTGGGATCGAACTCGAACACGGAACCTCCAGGTTAGCCAGCCAACGTCTTATTCACTGTGGCATTTACGTAAAAGCACCCTTGGTAGTTGGAATTCAATATATAAGAGTACCGGTAGCTGTCCGAACAAAATTTCTCTCATAACACACTGTATGGCGTTTGCCCTTCTTCATTAGTCCAGTTGGAGTAGAAGTTTCTCTGTTCAATGATCATTAGTTGTCTGATTAACTGTTTCGTCTCATATCTTCGTGTGAAACATTTGACTATCATACATGGCAATGCATGTAGCTACTGTCTGTTCCAGGTGACACTACGACATGAAAATTGCTTGCCATTTCTTCAATTTTTAATTAAAGCGGCTAAAACTTAGTTATATACCTGGAATTGCCTTCCCATAACTTTCTTACACGAGGGAACCAATTTCAGATCAGGCTATATAACATCTCTCTTAAAAAAATGGGGTTTGTTTACATCACGCTACTGAACATCAGCCATGTTTGACCTAGTTATCTGGAAGAGTCGAAGAGGGAGGGGGTGTTGGTTTGGCCTCGAGTTGTTTCGGCTTACTTGAAGTTGTTTCGGCCCAGTAGAATATAACTTTTATTTTTACGGAATCCAAGACAACAGTTGTTTGTCCAAGTGACTTGAATATTTAATTGGCTCCGAGGGCTGTAGCATTTTGATATTGATATAAACTACATGCATAATTATCCTGGACTGCATGTGATGAAAATTTGGAAGGACTGGAGGCTATAGACATACACAATAATAACTCGGCCCATAATATACAAAAGTAATCGCGTTTGCATAGTTAATATAAGTTATTCCTTTGCTTAAGACTTTGCTTATGGAAAATTTAAAGTAGCTAAGTCTCTATTTCAATATCATCCAAAATCTTCAACATTGAAAACACGATTTATTTGTCAAATTAAGTCAACATTCATGTTGTGATCTTACCGGAAAAAGATGGGCTTTTGATATCCAATATTTAAGACAAAATAAACATTTTACCATTGGTACACGAATCGTGTACCATAATGCGCTTCAGCCCCAGTTGTATCAAGAGACTCGAGGGACGAGGCTAGACACATTGCACCAAATCAAACGGCGTATGTAGACTGGAATAACCAGATGCTAGAAATTTGCACTCCTTGAGACTGCTGGCTTATTTCGCCGAACATAACTGATTTGAAATTGGAGTAAAAACGGAAACCATTGAATGCAAATCAGTTTATATACATTCATATTACAGTATTATATGCGTTGCGATCCACTTTTGTCAATTTCTAGGTCCCAAATGTTAGCGATTTAGCTCCTTTAAAGTTGAAATCAGGCTGGAGTAATGATCAGACTAATTGTATATGTAACCTAATTTCTCGTTAAAACCTACAACAACAGTAAAATGATTTTTTTTTTAATAATTAGGTCTGGCATATTATCGCTGGGTTGATGCTTTCGTGCCATTAAACATCAATCACATCATTTCATTTCATACATCATTTCATTTCATATCTTTAATCAAGGTTATGAAACACAGAACATATGTGTCTGTGGATGGTCTCGCTCAATGACGTCTATATAGTATAGAAGTCATTGGTCTCGCTTATTATATAATTTTGTCCTTTTCTGGTTTTGAAGATGGGCCTTCCTTTAAAACGGATTTTATGGATGTTATTAATGTGTAGGAAATCTCGTTTTTTGAATTTGTATATTGTAAATAATTCTGTTTCTTGAAAAACTACATAATAGTTTGGTTCATCCTTTGACTGCTCGCATGATTTTCATCTTCAAATAATAAACTGAAGATAACAATAATCAATTATCCAAGGGGTTGTATTTTCGAAGATTCGCTTTTTTGTCTTTTCTAGCTTAATACCTGAAACAAATCTGAACTTTTGTTCTACAACAATACTATGAATATCTATGATCCAGCAGTGAAATGTGAGGAATATTAAAATACCGGTATTTATTTTGCAAAAAAGGGGCTTTAGAAACAGCTCAGAAAATAATGGAAAACTTTAACTGCGATGCAGTCATGACAGGTTTCACTGGTGCCCGTTATTCTTTAACAGATGTTACTTAACATATTCCCATGAGCATGATACACGTGTAAAAAAAATTAAACACGAAATGACCATTTATGATAGCATGTTGACGTGTGGAACCCTTACAAAGTGACCAATGCTTGATCGTATATTTAAACAATATTACTTAAAGGAAATTAGAAAACAGTATTATTAAATGGTATCGAATAACACTCTTTAGAAAAAAAACAAAACATGTTTGATTCAAGGGTTTTAAAATTTAAATATAAACAAACAGGTACATTTGAAATTAAAGTTTGTTTAATAAGGGTTAAAAGTACAAGGTTTGCCAAAATGACGCTATTTCTTATGACAAGAATGTTACAATAATGAACAGTCACAGTAAGCATCAAATGGTGCAAATATAATGAAAATAGAACAATATTTTATTCTTTTGAAAAATGACTCCCACAAAACTGCCTATTTCTCGAAAATAGCAAAAATTCAAAATGATTCATGGATATTTGGTTGATCTTGTATATCAACACTATTTGTATATAAATGCTTAGAATACAAATATTATATAATAAAAATGTTAAATAACATTTGCGGGAAAATGGAGTACGAAAATCGATTCCCGAATTGCTCTGCTTATTTACGAGGACTATCCAGATATATATATCAGCTAAATTGCGATAAGATAATATTTTGTATCAATAATTATTATAGCTAGTGCCAATGTGTATACTATGCCGTTGATTCTATGTCAATCGGATAATTATTATTTAGTAATTAGTTTATACGCTAAAACTTATAGTGCCAAAGGGAGATAATTTTGATAAATATATTTTGAATATTTATTTACAGTTGATCAGAACCTATGTTCTTTGGGAATCTAATATTATAAAGTGTTTATAAAAATGTCATATCTCCAGACCTTGCTCTCAAAAACCGAGTGGCTTAATGAGTAGTTTCTATGAAATAAGCAGGTGGAAACAGAACATAATATTAATCCGATCAAAGAACATAAGTGTTTAACACACGATTCAGTCTGAAACCTAATAAGTATTACTGCCACAAAAGAAACGGACGAATTTTCCTTCACTAAATATTTCTAACCGAATTTACCCGATTTGGAGATACCTGTCTACCCTTTACGCGAAATGCAAGTCTCCCATTACGCAGGCGCACTCGTAATGTTTATGTTTTGAGAAAGAAACTGTGTCGAAATATGTGAAATTTACAAGAGAATAGTGGATTTTATCGAACTTCTAGGCATTAAGGCTCGACAAAGAGAGCAACGGGGTGACACTTTCAGGTATTTCACTAATTTTTGGCCGTTTAAATTAAAAACTGAAGAAATGGCGAGGGTATCTCTTGGAACAGACAGAAGCCAAGATAACATACCGTCTGCTGTAAAACCTGCATCAGTCCAGGGTTTGATCCTGGTGTTAGTCGATGAAGTTTCTCTGGTTCTTTAATTTGTGCAAGTCAAGAACTAGGTCCCGTTGAATGTCCACTTTCTTTCAATAACAAATAGACATACATATTACATAACAACCCATCCATATATGATTAACATATATACGTTAATTAACGTTCTGCTTCCAAATTGCACAATATCAGTGATAGAGTCATCTCAAATTAGATTTATCCAACTATAAGCTTATATCATTTATTTGTTTTGTTTTAAAGAAAAGACGCATTCAAGATTTAATTGGTGAAAGTGTACCCGAAGATGAAGCCAAGTTATTAAGTAATGGAAGGTAAGACATTAACACATTAAATCAGCATTCTCCAATAAACCTAAAGCCAAATTAATAGAACATGATTATGTAACATACCCACCTTTTTGATTCACAGGTCCTTGTTATTCAGATGGCATATAATAAAATAATTATCAAGTTGATTAGATAGCTTTTCTTCTATTAATTAACCCAAGACTTCATTTAGAATAGCTGTTGTGGTTACTAAATTAACACAGTAGTTTATGAACAATAATAATGTACTTTTATACACCCACATTTTCATGTGGACGTATGTTGTCATTGCTGACTGGTCCGTCCATCCATCCACAATTTGTGGACACTCTAAAGGTCACTGTTTTTATTCGATCTTGGTTCCTTTCGATATTTGCGCACATCGGATCATAACTTCCTGAATTATGACCCCAGATTGTATGAAAAATCATGTTTTTAGCTTGTGGTTCCTCTAGAGGTCACAATTATTGTCCGATTTAAAAAAACGTTTGAATATATCACTGTTACACTGTAATGATGCTTGAGTTTGAATTTCATGAAAATTAGACCAAAACTGCAGGACAAAATGGCCGCCCCTCGTATGCAAATAGTGTAAATATATGGTATATCAAGGTTGTGGACAATCTAGAGGCCACAATTTTGATCAGATTTTGATGAAACTTGAAATACATATTTATAACCCAAACGTCTTGGTTCCTTTCGATATTAGCACATATCGGATTATAATTTCATGAATTATGGCCCTTGATTGTACGTGTACGGAAAATCGTGGTTTTAGCTTGTGGGCCCTCTATAGAGGTCACAATTTTTTTTTGATTTAAAAAAAACGTTTGAATATATCACCGTTACACCCTAATGGTGGTGGAGTTCGAATTCGTGAAAATCGGACCAAAACTGTCGGACAAAATGGCCACCCCTCCTACGCAAATAGTTTATATGGTATATCAAGGTTGTGGACCCTCTAGAAGTCACAAGTTTTATCCAATTTTGAAATATATCTTTATAACCCAAAGATCTTAGTTCCTGTTGATATTCGTGCATATCGGACGTAATTTCCTGAATTATGGTCCTTGATTGCACGAAAAATCGCATTTTGTTTTAGCTTGTTCTCTATCTATCTCTTGCAAAATGTGGGCGTATCCTGCCTGGCAGCCGCTGGTTTGTTTTATTTGATTTTTTTTTAAAAATACGTTACATGATATGTATATGTCTGTATTAATGAAACACAGCCATTTAAGTTAATATTACAACAATAGGCCTACATGTACCGATATTAGCTGGTAAGGTTGTGAAATGAACTAAAATTTGACAGAAATATTCTATTGATTGTTATTGTTTCTATGCTTGTAGATTTACATGTACAGTTTGTCATCATAACCCTATATTTGACACTTTAAACACATTGTTGGTACATAGATCTGGAAAGAAACATGAAAAAGGTAATAACTTATTTAGACTAGACTGATAGTGATAATATAAAGTTATAAACACTATCATAAAAATTTTGGGGGTTAGACCATGGGTTCCACATCGGTCGTATATGCCGGTCAGACCTAGGGCTATGGAAAATGACTGTAACTAAACCTAACCCATCGCCATTTTTCAAAACCCAATTTTTAAACATGGTTTTGATCGACCTCCACTATGTAACTATAAAATTGTATGGCCAGTACAGAATAATGCACGTGTATAGAACTAGAAGCCACATAATCTCATGATTGGTATTATAGAGTTGTATACATAGTCGTCAATGGATCTCCACTATGTAACTATAAAATTGTAAGGTCAGTACAGAATAATGCACATGTATAGAAGCCACCTAATCTCAGGATTGGTATTATAGAGTATCAGATTATGCTGAGTGTTGTGTTGATAATTAATAATGAATGTCTGATAGTAGAACAATAAAAGTTAATTGATATTTGGGAATGTTATCAAAGGCGGGAGGTGATCCATCGTTCATCATTCACCCACTTGTCAAAAGAATTTTCTAGAACAAAGCCGCTCTACGGCTATTATGGTCACGCACGTTGTAAACAAGATTATTATGATCTTCGACCACCTGACCGTCAGACGGTCCTTCCAAAAAAGCTGATGCAGGAGAGAGAATGGTTGTGGGTTTTTATTTTGTCAGAGGATCACTATTGGGTTAAATGAATTTTCACATCACTTTTATCTCATCATGTCATTTATAGGAATGTATGATTATCTAGTGTCATTCATGATTACTAGCAACATTTATCAGGAATGCGTACACTTCAAAGTTTTGCTTCCTGTAACTGAGGTAAAATATTTATATCAGGTAATTTATGAGGTTTTTATTTTTTATACGCCCACATTTTCATGTGAAACTTCCAATCAATAGAAACAGGAAACACAAACCAAATACAGACAGTTTGATGGGATTAATTTTGACTAAGTCAAAATGATGCATTTGATATTCAGATAAGTTGATAAAAATTATTAATAGAATACAATATCAAAAAACCATCGTTTTATCCAACGTTTCGTCAGTAAAAATGCTAACTTCTGTAGGGATGAAGAACTAAATACAAAATGACTGGAAGTCAGTTATGACATCATAGGAAGTTATGACATTGTGAGAATGATGACGTCATAGACTTAGATACAGAACATGAAAGGTTAGCTTAACTAAAACTTGTAAAATTTTACCTAAGTTTTAGTTAAAGATACGTTATGTAAGATTTAGATAAAGAGCTAACCATTCTTGCTATATTATAGCAATTTCCGTTTATTACTTCTAGACTTATGGCCCTTGTTTCACTTTGTTTAACCTTGTGAACGCTCTAATGCCAAAAGTTATCCTATCTTTCTGAAATTTATATGCATTATTTAAATTAGTGAAACGAAGAAGCCTTTTGAATTTCAGCAATTTCCGTTTATTACGTCTAGAGTTATGGCCCTTGTTTCACTTTATTGAACTTTGTGACTGCTCTAACGCCAAAAGTTGTCACCCAATCTTATTAGTGAAACGAAGAAACCTATTGGATTTCAGCAATTTCTGTTTATTACCTCTAGAGTTATGGACCTTGTTTCATTTTATTGAACTTTATGAACGCTCTAACATCAAAAGTTATCTGCCGATCTGTATGAAATTTGCATGCGTCATTTAAATTAGTAAAGAGAAAAATCCTATTGAATTTCAGCAAATTCTGTTTATTACTTCTAGAGTTATGGCCTTTGTTTCACTTTGTTCAACCATGTTAATGCTTGATTGATGAAAATTATCCTCCGATATGTATGAAATTTATAATAATTTATATGCATCATTAAAATTTGTGAAACAGAGGTCTATTGAATTTCAGCAATTTCCGTCAATAATTTCTAGAGTTATGGGGGTTGTGAACCATGTGAACATTTTAATGACAAAAGTGCTCATCTGATCAGTATGAAATTTATATGCATTATTTAAATTAGTAAAGTGAAAAAGCCTGTCAAATTTAAACAATTTCTGTAGATTACTTCCAGAGTTGAGACCCTTGTTTCAGTTTGTAGAATCTTGTGAACCATCAAACGGCAAAAATTATAATCTGATCTGTATGGAACTGTCTTGTAAAATCCTCCAATTACCTACAAAAGAATAAATATGCGACAACCCTTGTCGACTGCTCAGACGATTTAGCTTATGTTTCATTGCCTGGCAACCTATCTTTCTTTTTCTCGGGTTATTTTCTTCAGTCTTGCTTTCCCCAGCATAACCTCAGTCTCGTGCTTTATCCTACACTTAGTTCGAAAATAGATAATGTAAAATGAATAATTTGAAAATTTCATTCAAATTACTCTATTACGAGGGAAGATATTACCCTTTGAAGGTTTGACAAGACGAGTGCAATAATTTCAACCACCATACTGGTTGTTCGAAGCTAAGTCTTGCTCCTCCATTTTTAGCTTAAATCAAAATATGGCTAAACTGTTCTAATCTATTTAATATCGGAGAAATCTGATGCCATCGAGAGTTGATTATGGCCTGGATAAGTTAATTAATGTCTAATTAATAATTTTGAAAACATTTCAGGCCTAAAGAAAGACCTGCAATAGGCAGATTTAGCTCTTGCATAATGTAATAGTATAAGCTAACCTTTCATGTTATGTATCTAAGTCTATGACATCATCAATCCCACGATGTCATAACTTCCTATGATGTCATAACTGACTTCCAGACATTTTTATACGCCCACATGGAAATGTGGTTGTATAGATTGTCGTTGCCCCTGTCTGTCGTCCACAATTTCTTGTGAACACTTTACAGACTACATTTATCATCTGATTGTTTTGAAATTGATATATGTTGTTTGCATTAGTGAGATGAAGAAGCCTATTTAATTTCAATAACTTCCGTTAATTTCTTCTGGAGTTATGGCCCTTGATTCACTTTGTTGCACCTTGTGAACGACAAAAGTTATCAACCGATCTGTATGAAATTTATATGCATCATTGCTAATATTTTGGACCTAAAAATTGGCAAAAATGGGTCGCAACACATATAATAACGTAATATGAATTTATATAAACTGTTTTACATTCAATCGTGTCCGTTTTACTGTGAATTGTCATCAGTTATGTTCGGCAAAATATGCCAGAAGTCTGAACAGCAAGTCAGTTTCTAGCGTCTGGTTATTCCAGTCAACACCGATATTATTTATTGCGCATGCTCTCCAAATAAGAACATGATATCACCGTTTGACATGACTTGTGGAATATGTCTAGTCTCATTCTTTGAGCACCTTGTTACAAATGGCGCGGAAAGCATTATGGTACACGATTTGTGTACCAATGGTAAAATGTTTATTTTGTCTTAAATATTGGATATCGGAAGCCCATCTTTTCCAGGTAAGATCACAACACCAATGCTGATTTAAATTGCAAAAAAATTTGTGTTTCCAATGTCGAAGATTTTGGATGATATTAAGTTACGGGCTTAGCTACTTTAAATTAGTAAAACAAAGAAGCCTATTGAATTTCAGCAATTTCCGTTAATTACATCTAGAGTTATGGCCCTTGTTTCATTTTGTTGAATCTTGTGAACGCTCTAATGACAACAGTTATCATCCGATCTGTTTGAAATTGATATGCATCATTTAAATTAGCGAAACGAAGAAGCCTATTGAATTCAGCAATTTCTGTTAATTAGGCCGTGAGTTATGGCCCTTGTTTCACTTTGTTGTACCTTGTGAATGCTCTAACCTCTAAAGTTATCTGCTGATCTGTATGAAATTTATATGTGCCATTTAAGTTAGTAAAAAGAAGAATCCTATTGAATTTCAGCGATTTCCGTTTATTACGTCTAGAATTATGGCTCCTTTTACTTTATTGAACCTTGTGAATGCTCCAACGCCGAAAGTTATCATTCAATCTTTGTGAAATTTATATGCATTATTTATATTAGTGAAACCACGAAGCCTATTGAATTTCAACAATTTACAATAATTACTTCTAGAGTTATGGCCCTTGTTTCACTTTGTTCAACCTTGTTAATGCTCGATTGATGAAAGTTATCATCCGATATGATGTATGAAATTTATATGCATTATTTAAATTTGTGAAACAGAGGTCTATTGAATTTCAGCAATTTCCGTCAATTATTTCTAGAGTTATGGCCCTTGTTTTACTTTGTGAACCCAGTGAATGTTTGAATGACAAAAGTGATCATCTGATCAGTATGAAATTTATATGCATTATTTAAATTAGTAAAATGAAAAAGCCTGTCAAATTTCAACAATTTCTGTAAACTACTTCCAAAGTTGAGGCCCTTGTTTCAATTTGTAGAACCTTGTGAACCCTCAACGACAAAAATTTTAATCTGATCTGTATGGAACTGTCTTGTAAAGGCCCCCAATTACCTACAAAGGAATAAATATGCGGCAACCTTTGTCGACCGATCGGACGATTTAGCTGCTGTGGGCGTATGTTTCGTTGCCTGGCAACCAGGGCTCACACTGTCGGTCATCAAAGTCGCAATTTGCGATAAAAATAAGAAAGTGGCGATTAAAATTCGATTTTGGCGATAATGTTTTGTGGTACTGGCGATTCTTTTTTAGAACTGGCGGAAAAAAATCTTAGAATTCTAATCGTATTTATCCTAAGGCGTTTTTGTGAACCGATTAGATTAGACCGATTAGCTATTATACGCATTTGTGAACCAAGTTGATTATGCTAATCGTTACATTTGTGAGACGATTTAACTCAACTGATTAGGCAAATCGACCTAATCGTCTCAGGAGGTGTTTAGGCGATTAGATTTGACGTTTTCAAAATGGCGGAATGTTCGACATCGCAAGTAATTTTTAATGCTTATTGTTGTTTTTCTCCATAAAAAATGTTTTTTTAAAACGCATTTGATGTGTTTAAAGTAGCTAAGTCTCTAACTCAATATCATCCAAAATCTTCAACATTGAAAACACGATTTATTTGTCAAATTATATCAACATTCATGTTGTAATCTTAACGGGAAAAGATGGGCTTTTGATATCCAATATTTAAGACAAAATAAACATTTTACCATTGGTACACGAATCGTGTACCATAATGCGCTTCAGCCCTAGTTGTATCAAGAGACTCGAGGGACGAGGCTAGACACATTGCACCAAATCAAACGGCGTATGTATACTGGAATAACCAGACGTGACGCTAGAAATTTGCACTCGCTTGAGACTGCTGGCTTATTTCGCCGAACATAACGGATTTGAAATTGGAGTAAAAACGGAAACCATTGAATGTAAATCAGTTTATATACATTCATATTACAGTATAATATGCATTGCGACCCACTTTTGTCAATTTCTAGGTCCGCAAATGTTAGCGATTTAAGCTCCTTTAATGTTAACTTTATAGTCCACAAGAATGTTAGATCACCTCTGGCTCTAAGCAATTTTAGGCCCTCTGGGTGCCAGCAGTGTCACTGTAATCTGTAGGTAACTTGGACTACACGTGAAACACACGCACCCCTCGTCATGTTAGCAGAGACAATTTTTTTTCTGATCGGTGTCCCTGATGGCAGCCATCTTACCAAATCGTAATTATCAAATTTCACATTTGTGGACCATAGCTAATCAAATCGAAATCATACCAAATCGTACTAGCAAATCAAAACCTAATCTAATCGACTCACAAAAACGCCTATTGATTAACCATTATTGAGTGTCAATCACATGGCAGGATACTATAAATTAATCAACTGGCCGATAATCCGGATTGCGTCATTGAGTAATACTAATCAGTTGTCTTGGATTAATGATTAGTTGATTGATAACTGTGAATGATATATATAAAGCCTATCTCAAGTCATTATTTACTCCTAATGATTAATCCAAGCGGTGATTATTTGATGTTTCGTTTCATCTTATAAAAATAATAATATGTGTAATCAAAATGGCCGACATTTTATTGCGAAGATAATTAAATATTTTAATAGCTGAATTCGTTTACAGTGGCTTCATATGTGTCATGTAAAAATACAAGCATGCCTATCGGATATCATTAGTTCAAATTATAATATCACCACTGGTCGAAAACGTAAGAACGAGTTGAATAGTGACGATTCTTGAGCGAGAAATTAGTTCGCCATTTCAATTTGTATCATATTACCGTCGCCAAAATGCTCTAAACGTTAACGACAGGTATATTGTAAGCATCCCTTAACAAATATAATCGAAATTTATGCCATTCTATCAGGGATTCAGATTTTGAAACCTTTACACTACCTGAAAATAACAATAGGCCCATTGTGCATGCAACACATAAATTTATAGAAAATTGGATGAGATTTGACGTGTAAATACTGAAAATAAAATCTGATCTTATTAAATCCAAACTTTGTAAATCTATTATGTAAAGACAGTTTTAAAGTTGTTGTATATTGTATTGTATATATCGGTAATTGTTTTATAATAAGCCTAGCTGAGACATAAAATTGTTAGGTGTTATCTTTTTTATCACACATTTTTGGCAGATAAAATATTCCAGTCGGCGGAAAAAATATGAACATTTTTTTTATACAAAAATTATCATCCTTTTGGTGGAAAAAAAATCGAAAGCCAGTGTGAGCCCTGCTGGCAAATTATCTTTTCAAATAACACAGGTCTTGTGTCCCTTTTCAAGTGACACAGACAGGGGCGCAGATCGCCAAAAATTAGTGGTGGGGACAGTCCATGCGTGGACGGACTATTGGTAAAACTAGATGCTTTAAAAGGCACTCTGTGGGTATTTTCAGCATCATTTTCTGGCAAACAATTCTTATCCCTGAGGCAGCAAATGAAACGAAATCTAATCTAAAGACAAATCTTCAAGCCACCATTCCTGATTTATTCTCTCATGTACACTACAAGAACTAGAAATATTTACACTACTGAGATTCCAGCACCGCCTCCATTCCCAGTAGTGTTCGAAGACTACGTAAAGTCTTTGAGCAACATGTGTATTCAATTGGATACACAAATTTACAGGCTACAAATCTTTTAATTTATATAAACTAAAACATATCAATATTCAATCCCAATTGAAATAAATGTAACATTTTACTGTATTATTCATTGGTGATTAAAAATCTGATGGCAAAGGACCGACTATATAAACGAACGCCGCTGGCATGAGCTGCTAGAGGTGGGGGCTTTTACAATTTTTATATGCCCACATTGAAATGTGGTCGTCTATTGTTGTCGCCCCGTCCGTCCGTCGGTTGACCGATGTCCACAATTGCTTGTGGATGCTCTAGATTGACTTTAAATTTATACACAGTGTTTAAGGTCTTGAGACGAAGAAGCCTATTGATTTTCAGCTATTTCTGATAATTACTGCCAGAGTTACGGCCCTTGATAACTTTGAAAAATCTTGTGGATGCTCTAGAGGCCTAGGTTAATATCCGATTGACTTTAAATTTATACACAGTGTTTAAGGTCATGAGACGAAGAAGCCTATTGATTTTCAGCGATTTCTGATAATTACTGCCAGAGTTATGGCCCTTGATCACTTTGAAAAAATCTTGTGGACTCTCTAGAGGCCAAAGTTAATATCTAATTGACTTCAAATTTATACAGTGTTTAAGGTCATGGGACGAAAAAGCCTATTGATTTCCAGCGATTTACGATAATTACTGCCACAGTTATGACCCTTGATCACTTTGAAAAATCTTGTGGACGCTCTAGAGGCCAAAGTTAATATCTGATTGACTTTAAATTTATACACAGTGTTTAAGGTCATGAAACGACGAATCCTATTGATTTTCAACGATTTCCGATAATTACTGCCAAAGTTATGGCCCTTGATCACTTTGTGATGCTCTAAAGGCTAAAGTTATCATCTGATTGACTTCAGATTGATACACAGAGTTTAAGATCTTGAGACGAACAAGTATATTGATTTTCAATGAATTTTTATGTGTTGAACAGCTAAATCCATGATATTAAAAGTTTTGTATACAAAATGTTAGCATGTGGCAGAACTTTATAAAAACAAACAAATTCTAATGGTTTTCTGATAATTATTCATGAGTTGTTGCTCTTAATCAGATTTTAGTGTATTATAAATGTTTCATTACCATCTTCAAAAAAAAAATGTCACTTACTTGTAATAATAAGTACACGATTCTTGGCACAGCTTACTGTACTCCAAAAAATAGAGGGTTCAAGTCTTAAATTTTAGATTTAATTGCCTATATTCCACAGAGAGAGATAGAAACCAGTCTTTAAAAATATGTTTATTTAGTATGGCAGTAAATCTAGCAATGAAGGGTTCCCCTGATATACAAACTAAATCCTTTAGTTAGGTGATTTATCATCCAGTATTACCAGATAAAAACAAAATCTCTGTTATTCTTTAACCCTTTAATACCCAGCGTATCAGATATGCACACCTCCATGATATACATATTATTATAATCCCTATGGAATGTTTTAATTATTTACTGTTATAATATGAATCATCACTTATTCCCTGTTAAATAAAAATCGGTCATTGGTGCAGCTGTACAACTTCAAGTGCCTGGGACCAACTCTATACTTTCTGAAATGTCAATAAAAGCTCTGGAATGATTTCAATTTAAAAAAATAAACAGTAAGCAAAACATCGGAAATAAGTGGATAAGTGGTGGGGACACAGTATATCATGTCCCACCACTAAAAATATTGGTGGCGACGTGTTCCTGTGTCCCCACCGCGATCTGCGCCCGTGGACGCAGAAATATCTAAGAACCAGAAAATATTTTTTTGTATGGCTTTATTTAAAATATTATGGTGTCTGGGTATGACGTATCAGACTTATGGATGTGGCGGTGATGTTGACACTGCACAAAATTTGACTATAGTAGGGTTATTGAATAATATTTAATTCTTTCTTATAAAAGGAGCTGCAATATTTATAGAAAAACAGAGACAGTTAAAGGATCTTATAGAGGTTAGAAAAGCTGAACATTTTGAAAAGTATGGAACCACAAATATAAAGATAGCTAAGGTCAGATAGTCCTGTTTCTGCAGTAATCTTTGATCATTCTAGATTTTACTTTCTGTTTGAGATATAAACCTTTGGTGGTATCTTGGCATCACCTGTTCATCTATTTGTGGTCACAATTACTTATCACTGTAGACAACACAGTTATCTGTTTTTTTAAAATTTATATTTGTTAACTTTGGTGAAATGGAGAACCCATGATTGAATTTTAGAGTGATTGTCCTTGTTAAGCTTTGAAAAGACATGCAATCACTTGGGTCTGCAAAAGTTATTATCAAAACTGGCCTGAAATTTATATGTATTGACACAAACAATCCTGTTAAGTGTCCACAAAATTAAATATTAACTGCATATAGATGGACTAGAAATTTATGTAGATTGTTGTCAGAGAAACAAAGAATTAGAGATAAGACGACTGGGGTGTTAGCCGTAAAACTGATATCTGATATTATGTACTTTATGGTTTTGCAAAATGCACCTGTTACTCTTGTCTATAAAAGAGTCCCTGCGAATTATGGAATGATCGAACTGTTTGACTGTGGAGCTAAGATATCTGCACACTTTTATATCAATTGTTGTCCCACCCAGATATCTACAGTCTGCCAGATAAAGGAAGCTTGTAATTGTTTGTATTTGAAAACACTCCAAGTTTTAAATTTGGTACATCCATGTTGCAAGCCCAATGTATCAGTACCCCAGGATTGACAGTTTATGTTTGACAATAGTAGGGGGGGTGGGGGTGAAAAGACATTGAACTCTTTCAATATTTATATTTAATATTATTGAATGTTCAATTTGATATCTTTATAGGAACATCTAAATCATAAACATTTGATGACATCAGCACCATATGATGCTAGAAGTAAAAAATCAAAGCCGTATGATAGAAAACTTAAAGTTCATGTTTTACCCAAATCATCTTCAAAATCAACAACCTATCTTACTAAAACACCCCAAATTCCAGGGGTTGAGGCAAGATGGTCTGGACTTCAGTGTTCTGAACCCATAATGCATGATAAACAACTGAAAAATGTTTTCTGTAGGAAAGGGAAGACAATTGAAGAGTTCAAACCATATAAATCTAACAGACATAAAAACCAGAATCAGACACTTAGTTGTTCAGATAATATTAATAGTGCCAAGGATAGTGTATTAATAGATGTTTATGAAAAAGATAATGCAAAATTAAAGTTAACGGATGATATTATAAATAGCCTCACAACACAACTGCCTCCTCCACCACCAGCAGACACAGTTATACCTAATGAACCCAAAATACAAACAGAAGAGCAAAAACAATATTATGAAAAAATTAAACAGCTTCGAGGGTTAGTATCATGCAAAAAAGCATGTCTATATGCACTCAATTATTGTTATATATATATATATTGTTGTCTTTGATTTTGGACCCATTCCTCTGCTGTTAACAAAGGGGGGGGGGGCAGCGTTAGTGCATTGTATAATAAGGTCTGTCATTGAATAGACTTTCGTTGTGTTTCGATTCCCTGGTTGTACGTGACAAGGAGTAGGGACGCCTTGTGGGTTTTCTCCGGGTCCTCCAGTTTCCCCCCACTGTTAAAGACCCCTATGTGCAAGCAAATTACTGAAATAAAATTGAACCATGTTAGTCCCGAAATGACCTAGTTTGTGTTGAGTGGACGTTAAACCCCATTTCTCTCTCTGCTGTCAACAATTACTTTTGAATACTATATAGATAGAGACTATATGTATAGTTGTCATCCAATTAAAATTTATTAGAGAAAGAAGCCTACTTATTTTCAATGATTTCCAATAACTTGTTTTACTCTGAAAACTTGTGTGGATGCTCTATAAACTAGAGTTATTATTTGATTGATTTAAAATTTAATGTGTTCTTCACAATGTATGTTCACAAAATGAAATAGTCTGTTGATTTTCAGTTATTGAGTTATGGTTGGATTACTGGCATCTGTTGTGTTTATGTTGACAGTAGGATCAGGAAAAAGAATGTCCGACTTCTGATAATTATATAATGGGTTGTTGCCCATAACCATTTTTTTTAGTGTTTAGTAATTGTAAATGTGTGTTTTTGCCTTTGACTTTCTAGCGTTTTGTAAAAGTTTGTTTTGCCTTTGACTACTTTCTTTTGTCTTGTACATGGTCCCATTACCTTAAAAAATATAGGGGTAAGGCGCTGGCTCGCTAGCCTGCAGGTTGGGTGTTCGATCCCTGCATTGGCCAAGAAAAGTTCATCTTGATTTTCAGACATGGTTTCCCCTTGTCAGTGTTGCAGGATGGAGGGCCTGACAAGGGCAGCTGTCTAGTCATTAGGATGGGACGGAAAATGAAGGTCTGTGTATACATTGGCATGCACATAAAAAGATCCCTTGGCAGTTGGAATTCAATACAAGAGTAGGCCATAATGCCGCTGCCTGGGTAAAATTTCCCTCATAGCACACTGTATGGCATATGCCCATCTTCATTATCCCAGTAGGACCAGAACATTAGGACATTAAACCCCATTTCATTTCAAAAATATACTGATCCAACAACATAGGTATATGGTTAGTTGCCTTGCAGTCTATCTTAATTATATTTTATTGGTTACATACTTCAATTTGATTTCATAGGAAAGGTCAGTTCTAAAATATATATGAGAAAAATAACCTATTAATGTACTAACCTAAATATGTGGTTATTGATCTATTTATAGAGCTGGTTGGAAGAGAGATTGGGATGGAACATGGATAAAAGATGAAGATGCTGAATTTGATTCTGATGAAGAAGCACCAGATATATGATTCAATATGAGGACTATTTTTATAGTGAATTCAAGACAAATGAAATAATTATTTTAGACAACTGTTGTGTATTTTGTCCCCCACCTTTTGAGGATTAAAATGTTGTGTTTTTTCCGCCTGTCACACTTTATTTTTTGATGCAATAACTTGGCTTCTAATTGAGCTAGAATGTTCAAACTCAGTATAGTTGTTCGATGATCAAAGGCTAAGCAGACATTAATAATTTCAATATTTGAGAATTTGGGAAAAATAACCCATCTTCTAATTACTGAAGTATAATGTTCAAACTTGGGGTTCATTCAGTGAATATCTTGACCTGGTTCGGTTTTGAGCATTTTCTGCTTGGCTAAGCAGCTGTCCGCCTGTCACCTTTTGGAATACAATAAATCTGTTTCAGCGAGATGAAGAAACATGTTAGTTTTCAAAGACTTCAGATAATTAGTTATGGGCCTTGATCAATTTGAAAAATCCTGTGGACTAAAGTTATCCAATTTGCTTGAGATTTATACACAGCAAGAACTAGCATCCCAAACTTAGGCTGCCTGTCTACAGCTATACAGGTCACAATTCTATGATAATGACTAGAGAAGCCTAGTCGAAACGTCGCTCAGTAAAAAGCAGTAATTGTATTCCATAGAATTGGTACCTGGATACTCTAGTTCAATTACTAAATGTCATTGAAACAGTTTATCAGTCTGTCTACAGCTAGCTCCGCCTGAGAAGAGGCCCTAACCAGATTGACCGACATTTAAATTCCTACATCAACGATTTTAGTTGAAAACACTATGTATGCTTTTAGAAATTGTTAGAAGTATTTATTCCTCTTATATTTTCATATCTAATGAAAGATGATAAACGGTGTAGAACCGAATCACCAAATAATCCACTAATTATTCAATATGGTGGCGCCCATAGAAGCAGTTTTATTTGCAAAGACAAATTTAGGTGTATCTAACATTGATTTAAAAGATAAACAGATTTAAACTCTGAAGGCAGTTTACAATGATAAAGACTGCATTGCAATATTAACAGCTGGCTATGGAAAAAGTCTGATTTTCCAAATTTTACCATGGTTTTTAAAAGCAAGATTGTCTTCACTATACACTTCAATTGTGCTTGTAGTATATCCACTTAACAGTATCATGCAGGACAGAACCAAGTAGTAAGTACATGTTTAGACTGTATTAAATTTATGTTTAATATCATTTTATCAACCTAGATGATTAAGAATTATTCTGTAATTAATAATGGTACTTGATTAGGAGAATTTAAGCCAAACTGTCAATTTGTGATTGTAACTGTTATATATTCTATCCTACATGACGTATGGTAGGCCTAGATAAGTACATTTCTGTAAATTAATAATGGTACATGGTTAGGAGAAACTTTAAGCCCAACTGTCAATGTGTGATTGTAACTGTTATGCTATCCTACATGACGTATGGTAGGCCTACATTTTTGTTTTCAAGTTTAAAAAAATAGAAGTGTTCCTTTATAGTAAAAATAATTTAAAATAAAAAAATACTTTAAATTTTTCAGACTGGATTGGTTAAAATATGTGTTCAAGCATGCTATTTAAATAAAAAATACATCTGAAAATAATATGGGAAAGACCTATGAAAAAGCTGCTGGTGGCTTTATTGCCGATCCAGGGAGTGATACAAAAGATAGCGAAACACAAAGTGAAACCAGTGTATTCACAGAAAAAGACGTCATACTCAAAGTATTAAGACAGGGCGATTACAAAATTATTTATTCCCATCCAGAAACTCTGGTGTCCAACTCAGTCATTGGGAAACTTTTAGGTTCAACAGAATATAAAAAACAAGAAGGGCGGTGGTTATAGATGAAATACACATGGTAAGTATTTTCATCTTATTTGTCCTACGTTTAATTCTATTCTATGGTTAGCTTGTCAGTATAGGACACTTATCAATGTCCAACTGTCTTGGGATCTTTAACGTTTGCTGCCAATATGCATACATGACCTCGGTTTGTTGTCTCAGTCCTAAAAGGGACATAAATGAAACAGCCTTAAACCAAACTGGACAAATTTTTTAGTCTAAATGGACCTATATTAATTATAATGTCCATAAAAAATCCAAAAAAAACCCAATCTATTAAATATCTGTTATTTAATTAGAATCCAGTTAGATGAATTCTGACAACATTTTTGGTCATTTTTACTAAAGTATATTTTGTCTGTTTCGTTTACGTCTGTTTTGAACATATACAATGTACAGGTTTTATCGTATGCAGAGGATGCCGAATAGAGGAATGATGTAAATTTCAGCTTAAAATATAGAGTCTTTGGACATGAAAGTCAAAACCGCATATCTGGACACATAACACTTTTAAGATTTCGGGTCAATTTTTTCGTTGGATGACCTGATAACCTACATCTTATTTTTATAAAATAAAAGTATACAGTTTGGGACACCAGGTCAACATTTCCAGAACACAAAATTAAGCAGTTTTATTCACCAAACTATAATCAAGATTTGCCCTTTAAATATTTTTCTAAATGTACATGTAGATATATTCCATTAAATCTTTTTCAGGGGAGAAGATTTCAGAAAAGCATTTAAAAGACTGTCAGAGATAACAACCCTCTATACAGATGCTGCACATTTGGTAGTCACTGCGGGAATACCAGCCTTACCAATGATCTGCAGTTAATTACACCTACAGTAGTTAAAATGAATCCAGACAGACATAACATATTTATTAAAAAAAAAATCAAGATTGCCAAATTTGAGAAAATATGAAAAATTTGATGACTTAATACAACCAATTTCAGCTGAACTGAAGGAACTGAAAAGTGAATTTCCAGTTACTATTGTTTATGTAGACAGTTTAGAATGTTTATATTATTGTTACAATTTCACTGAAAAATTTGTTGGTAAAGATGGATATCTCGGAATAGAACAAACACCAGAAAATAGGATTTTCGCTCAATATCATTCAAAATATACACCAAAAATAAAAACACTGATTATTATAAATGAACTTTGCAAGGACAATCCTACATTGAGACTGGTTTTGGCAACAGTTTCTTTGGAAATGGGATTGAATGCTCCTACAGTATCCAGAATTATTCATTTTCGACCTCCAACGTCATTGGAAAGTTATAGCCAAGAGATTGGTAGAGCTGAGAGAAATGGTCAACCATCACAGGCTATCATTTATTAAAATAATGACATTGCAGCTAACAGGCAAGGTATAATAGTAATAAGTATTACCAAAGAGATGGTTTTTTTTGCAAAGATGAAACATCATGTTTGAGAAAACGGTTGTTAAACCATTTTGGTGCTGAATAAACTTTTAGTGGTGGTCCTTCATTGTGTTGTAGTAACTGTCGTAATAGCATAATGGTGAGTATTTACATTCTTATATGAATTCTGATTGATTATCTATTGGAATATTTTGTAAAATATGTTTAATTATAATTTTGATATCTGACTTAAATTTGGTACTGTTTACTCCTTCAAATTAAAAGGATCTTTAGAAATTCCACTGAATGCATCTAAGATTCTGCCAGGAGTTTTATTGAAAGATTCCAGCTCTGTTAATTCTTTTTGAATTGCTTTTAAGCCTTCCTCAGATGACTTTACTTTATGAGTGGTAGAATATCCTTTAACATCTAATAGTGAATCAAAATTATCTGAAACTAGTTTAACAACCGGCTTCTTCATCTCACTAATATCAACAACATGTATCAATTTTAAAACAATCCGATCATAACTTTCGGCGTTAAAGTGTTCACAAGAAATTGTGGACGACGGAGCGATGGACGGACAGACCATGGCGACGGCAATATACGTCCACATTTCCATGTGGGCGTATAAAAAATGGAATCATGGCTTTTAGGCATATGTTTGTTCTGAAAATGGTCTCCATATTTTATAGCACTTTTAAAGTTCTTAATTACAAAATACCATTGTAGAAAATTACTGCAATAATTGAAAAGGTCCTCTTGTCTTTCTTCTTCTCTCTGTAAAATATGAACAGGACCATCAACTCCTGGGAGGGTAATTGTAATAACTTTAGATTTTTCAAATGATATAATGGGAATCAGTAAACGAAAGGGTTCTCCTCCTTCAATAGACAGTAATGCAGATGTCGTTTTTACTCCATTAATGTCGTTCACATCCGCTGTAACAATGTTTTTTATCATCAATATTTAACTCCAGCTGAATTGTACTTGCTGAATTCTAAAAGGAAGAAAGAAACATTTAGATTTAGATTGGCCATGTGACAGGAGACAGTTACTATGTACCTTATTTAGAAAGCATACTTTGTACTAAATAGTGAATGGTTCTGAGTAACAGTGAAAGTGCCAGGTACATGTATGCGGTTAAATTAAATCTTCTTGGTAACCTGGCTACTTTTATTGTTTGTTAAATAGACCTAATATGTCAACAAGATAAAGACAAAAGTGCTGTTTATTGAAATTTTTATGACCATGTTTTTGTATACATACTTATATCTAATAGCATATGTAATGTATTTTGTATTTTCAGGATAATTCCAGCACAACTGAATAATCTCACCTGCTCAATGTCAAAGACTGTTAGTACTTCATCCATGAACTTGTCTAAAATCTTGTCAAACACCATTTGCTGACATTTTTCATTAAGTTTGTAGACATTTCTTCCTCATATTCACGTGGAAGATTTTTTGGCAAAACTAAGTTCATCCACTTGAAACAATGGATTGGAATATGTCAACCATTTCTTGAGCAATAAGATTCTTTAAACTTTGCTTTCTCATTTTCATTCAATACCAGTGGCTGCCAGGCCTCTATAGGGTCCACAACCTTGATATACCATATTTTTACGCAATTTGAGAACGAGGGGCGGCCATTTTGTCTGTCAGTTTTGGGCCGATTTTCACGAAATTTGAACTCAGTCGTCCTTAGGTGTAACGGTGATATAATAATACGTTTTTTTAAATCGGATAAAAATTATGACCTCTATAGGGTCCACAAGCTAAAAACTTGATTTTTCGTACAATCAGGGGCCATAATTCAGTAAGTTACGGTCCGATATGCGCGAATATCGAAAGGAACCAAGATCTTTGGGTTATAAACTTACATTTCAAGTTTCAACAAAATCGGATAAAAATTGTAACCTCTGATATACCATATTTTTACGCTATTTGAGAACGAAGGGCGGCCATTTTATCTGTCAGTTTTTGGCCGATTTTCACGAAATTCGAACTCGGTCGTCCTTAGGGTGTAACGGTGATATAATAATATGATTTTTTAAATCGGATAATAATTATGACCTCTATAGGGTCCACAAGCCAAAAAGCGCGTTTTTGCGTACAATCAGGGGCCATAATTCATGAAGTTACGGTCCGATATGCGCGAATATTGGAAGGAATCAAGATCTTTGTGTTATAAACTTACATTTCAAGTTTCAACAAAATCGGATAAAAATTTTGACCTCTACAGTGTTCACAAGCCAAAAACGTGATTTTTCGTACAATCAGGGGCCATAATCCATGAAGTTACGGTCCGATAGGTCCCAATATCGAAAGGAACCGAGATCTTAGGGTGATAAACCTATATTTCAAGTTTCATTGAAATCGGATAAAAATTGTGACCTGTAGACTGTTCACAAACAATTGTGGACGGACGGACGGACGTTCACATGAAAATGTGGGCGTATAAAAACTGAGTGGATGTTTACTTCATCTATATTACATAAAGGTTTTTCATTTGGTAATGATGAGGCATCAACTCGGTAGGATGTCCAGTCTGTAGCAAAGAAATAAAAATCTTTCTCCCTAGAACTTAGGCTCATATCAGCTGTGGACACTCTGACATCTAAATTGTCTCCATTGATTTTGTCATCTTTTCCAGTCTATATTTCATTGTTTATCAACTGTTCTGAATAATCAGCATAAGTTTTTATAATATCACTTTTACTTTTTTCCGAGAGAGTTAGATGCAGTGCATTTAGTCAAGTGAGAAGCTGTATTGGATATCCATTTGATAAAATAAATTTTACAGTTACATGAGTAATAATCAATACCTACATGTATATAAAAGTTTTAATTCATTTATGAAATAATAATTTTGTATGTCATACAACAGAGACTATTTAATGTCTGATTACCTTTAAATTATTACACAGTGTCTACTGGAAAATCCTGGTGAACTTTCTTGGCCAACATTGGTATTGAACCTCAGACCTGACTAGTGAGCCAGGGCCTTTACTCAGTGAGTCACCATGCAAAATAACCAAATTAACCCTAGCACCGTTGTCTGAAAAAGGCAAGTTAGGCTTATGTCTAATATCACGATTCATGTCCTTAGCTCTTTCACGACTACCAAGTCAGAGTCGAGTCTCCAAAAATATTTTAAGTCAAGTTTCTGATGCAACTTAAGTTGAACTCGAGTCCAAGTCATGGGAGTTGAGTTCCCACCTCTGCTGATTGACACAGTGTTGATTTTCATGCGATGAAGAAGCCTATTAATTTTAGAAAACCCATGAAAGAAATGCCGCCAGATCACAAACAGAGCAAAAGTTTTTATCTTAAACTAAATTAGGTTTAGTATTATTTACCTTATCAGCATGGCATCGAATACATGAGGTGTATAATCTCTGAACAGCACGATTTTAAAAATTAGTTTGTGAAGAAAAGACATTTAATGCTTTCTTTAACGGTCCACATTTTAAAATTATATGTATTAGGTACTTCACAGAGACATATTCCTCCAATCGAAATATATCAAATAACACTTTGTAATCTTACAAAATATGCGAAAATGAAAATCTGAAAACACAGATAAGTTTATAATAAACAAAGTTAAATAGTTTGTTCATAATCGAAGAAATCGGTTTATAAAATAGGAAGATTCAGACAGTAGATCAAACGTCTACTGCTTGATCCGGTAATCTAAAGATGTGTGGCCAATAATCATTTCTGAAAACAAACAAAATTACATAAATAAACTGCATTTCTAATGCATTGAGAAGGGGTTACTGCCAGATTTTTGCAGGCTGCGGTGGACCCCCTAAATATAAACCAATCTGTATAATTTTTTGCATGGAGTGTTTTTTCGGGAATAAGGACATATTAGAAAAAAGGGACAGGGGGTTCTGAAAATTTTGAAAAATCAAGGGGCTATAGATGCACCCTACGAGACAAGACAGATTATATACCGCTTTTATCGGGGTGGTCCACATTTTCCTGACATAAACGGTATTTCAGGCATTAGTTGTTTGCATACAACAGATGCTTCCGGTATATAAAGTAGTGCCGGTTGATAAGTCACGCCCCCGAATGATCACGTGAGCGTTTTAAATGGACGACATTCAGGGCAGTGATGTATTTTCGAAGTATGACGTAGATGGATCGCTGGGTGCAGTATGCAAGAACTAGAAGCCAATCAAATTTTAATTATTTGTAATAATTATTTCATGGGTTTTTACTTCTGAACCATTTTAAGTGTCTTTTCAATGATGCAATTACCTATATAAGAATAGTCAACAGCCTTTGTAGACTTTTGGGATAACTTAGTTGCTGTAGGTTGGTGTATGTTTTGTTGCCTGGCACCTCATCTTGATATTGACAGAATAGTTTCAAGCTTAATCATTGTGAAACTAGCATGATAAATTTCGTTTCCATGGTTACGTGCACCATTTTTTTGGATTTCGTAATTTTTGTGTTTGGAAACCAATTTGACAAGCACATACCCTTTCACAATTTTGCTTGTCAGACATTTTTATTTAGCGGTTAATCGAGACCAGAATTAGGTCACCAGAAGCCATTGTCAGCTTCAGCAAATACATGTAGGGTCAATAAGCTTCCATTCCCTTGATTAGTAGACATCAATTACAAATATTTTTTATGTATGTAGCATAATCATGTTCTGAATAATATTTATTATTAGCACAAAAACATACCACATGCATTTACAAATTCATTTATTTTTAGTAAATCAATACAAATGAAACAGATCTCACATCTGACTATTTACATAAATTTACCAAAATAAAATTTCTATAAATTATGATGAGCTAGAAAAGATTGTATATCTAAAGTTAATTGATCAGGATTAGATAATATTAATAATTCATCTTCTTCATGGGATTCAATCAATGTTTCTACAACTTGATTATCAGATGAAGATGCTGACTGTGGTGGTTTAGGTTTAGACTGGGATGTAAGGGCAACAGTTACCTTCTTTGCTATGGCTGGTGTACCTTTACTCAAGGTACAAGACGCGGTGGATTTAACGTGAGGATTTGACAGATTTGCTTTTTTCACTACTTGTGGATTCTTGGGAAAAGTTGGGGACATTTGTTTTGGTGAATTTATCTTTGTGATTTGGGGTACAAGTTTTTTTGGTACATGTACATTAGTAATAGTTGCTTGTACTGTTGAACTGGGTTGTTTGTATGGAGTTATATGAGAAGATACTTTAGGAGATGTCAGTATTTCTTTAGGAATTGCTTTAGAGGCTGTCTGTACTATTTTAGGACTTCCTTTGGGAGCTGATAGGATTTCCTTCGGAACTACTTTAGAAGTTGTCTGTATTAATTTAGGAGACGTTGATGGTGTGGTATTAGATACTTGTTTTACAGAAGGAGGTTTAGTAGATGATGACATCACTATATCAGGTGTTGCTGAAGTTACTGGAAGTCTATCTGTTTTCTTAATTTCTACAATAGGCGGGGCTACATTTAAAGTGGTAGATGATGGCTTGTTAGAGACCAATCTGCTGGATTTGGGGGTCGAAGGAGAAGAAAGTACACTGCTGCTGACCATAGAGGATTTGGGTGTTGATGGGGAGGAAGATATTTTAGTACCAGGAACTGACGCACAAGGAGTATCTGGTGAATATGCAACAGGTGACATAGAGACACCCTGACATAAAGATTTCTTTGAAGGTGGTGAGAAGAAAATTGATTGACTATCTGATTTGGTTGGTGAAAATAAAGAGGAATCTGATTGGCTGTCTTGAGATTTTGATAAATGAGTTGGCTTCTGAGGTGGTATCTGAAATATAACAACCTATTTGTTTACAATCCAATCAGTTAAATTATTTTCACAATAATGCTTTCATTTAGAATTTTTAATATTATTTCATTTCAACCCTATGTAGATTTCCTAAATGGGGGGCCACGGTGGCTAAGTGGGTAAGACGCTGGGTCGCTAGCCTGGAGGTCGGGTGTTCGATCCCTGCATTGGACGAGAAAGTTCATCCAGATTTTCCGGCATGGTTCCCCCTTGTCAGTGATGCAGGACCAAGGGCATGACAAGGACAGCTGTCTAGTTGTTTGGATGGGACAAAAAAATGAGGTCCCGTTTACACATTGGCATGCACGTAAAAGATCCCTTGACAGTTGGAATTCGATATAAGAGTAGGCCGTAGACGTAGTGCCGCTACGTATGCCTGTCTTCATTAGCCCAGTCAGAACAGAACAGTAGGACGTTAAACCCCATTTCATTTCAGATTTCCTAAATACATGGGGTATTTATGGATAGTACATGTAGGTGTATTATATAAGCTAAACTGTAAGATAATAGGTAAATTTTACCTGAGGTAATCTCGCAGACAACTGAGATTGTCGATGTTGACAGAATCGAGTAGCTTGTTCAAGTATTGAAGAATTGGAAGAGTTTTTATCCACCTGAAAAATTAGAAACAAATACAATGTCAATATTTGAAGTGCCTTTCAAATGTTTTTTATATTATTATAGATAATTAATCATGCTGTATCAGTGCCCTTCTAATCTTTCTGTTTTATTCCTTTCCTATTTATAATCAATTATTATTTATTATACCATTCAAACTTATGCATACATATTTTAAATACGATTGTCACTGACATAATGGTACCAATCAGCCATATCATGGTCGAAGTCAGCCCAAAATCTGGTATCAGTCAGCTTCAAATATGGTCCAAGTCAACCAGGTCCAAATCAGTCTGTCTTTTTGAAATCACATTCTATTCTTTGATTTTATTGCCAGTCATTTTATGTCAATGTTTTATATATGTGTTTTTGTTTGGCAGTAGCCTTTGTTTGTTTCTAATTTGCAGGTAGCACTTGACAGCAAACAGTAGCTAACAAATCGGTTTCGGTTTGTTGATCTAAAACAATGCATGCTAAAGTAAAATCGTAATGTACAATTCAAAACCAATGGGGAGAATGTCCCGTCAAGCAGACGCTTCAAACAGTGTACTGTACATTTAAATCAGCTTTACTGGGCACTTTCAGATTAATGTGGTTTAATCAAAATCTGAATAGAACATATTAATGTGCCAAAGCCTATAAATTATAAAACCAGCAGTTGCCAGGCCTAAAAACAAAAGCAATTTTTCGTAAAATCAGGGGCCATAATCCAGAAAGTTATGGTCTGAAACGTGCAAATATCGAAAGAGACTGAGATCCTTGACATATAAAGATATATTTTAAGTTTCATCAAAATTGGATAAAATTTGTGACCTGTAGAGGGTCCACCAACCTTCGTATTACTTACTTTTACACACTTTGCATACAAAAAACGGCCATTTTGTTGGGCAGTTTAATTGATGTGTAACGGTGATATATTTAAACAGTTTCTTAAATTGTGGGGGTGTGTGTGTGGATGGCTGAATGGTTAGCATGTGTCTGCCATTGAGTCAACTGGCGTGGTTTCGAATCCCCGGTTGAACGTGATAAGGAGTAGGGTTGTCTGTTAAGGGTTGACGTCAACCGACAACACTGCAAGAATTAGCCGTGGCACTGCAAGGGGAGTGGGTCAGATTGCCCCAAATCGTGATTGGACGGTTGATTAGAAGCATGCCACAACGAATTCCTGAAGTCTGAGGATTGGTGGAGCAATTAATCATTATTAAGACAAAAATCAAAATGTTGTGTGTCGATAGGGTCAAAGTTGACGACATAGGGTCACTGGTACCATTCAGCATGACGTGTGTGTAACGAACATGTGTAGCAAATTCTTTGGAAATACCAGATATGTTAAATAACCAGCGGCTGCCAGGCAGGATACGGCAAATTTTCGAGAGATCGATAGAGAACAAGCTAACAAGAAAGTGATTTTTCCTACAATCAAGGGCCATAATTCAGGAAATTACAATTCGATATGCGCATATATCGAAAGGAACTGAACGAACGGCAGCCATTTTGTCTGTCAATTTTGGGCCGATTTTCACGAAATTCGAACTCAGTCGTCCGAACTCAGTCGTCCTCAGGGTGTAACGGTGATAATAATAATATAGTTTTTTAAATCGGATAAAAATTATGACCTCTATAGGATCCACAAGCTAAAAACGCAATTTTTCGTACAATCAGGGGCCTAATTCAGGAAGTTACGGTCCGATATGTGCGAATATCGAAAGGAACCAAGATCTTTGGGTTATAAACTTACATTAAAAGTTTCAACAAAATCGGATAAAAATTGTGACCTCTATAGGGTCCACAACCATGATATAACATATTCTTATGCTATTCCAGAACGAACGGCGGCCATTTTGTCTGTCAGGTTTGGTCTAATTTTTACGAAATTCGAACTCAACCATCCTTAAGGTGTAATGGTGATATATTCAAACGCTTTTTTAAATCGAATAAAAATTATGACCTCTATAGGGTCCACATGCTAAAAACGCAATTTTTCGTACAATCAGGGGCCATAATTCAGGAAATTACAGTCCGATATGCACGAATATCGAAAGGAACCGAGATCTTTGGGTTATAGACTTACATTTCAAGTTTCAACAAAATCGGATAAAAATTGTGACCTCTATAGGGTCCACAACCTTGATATACCATTTTCTTACGCTATTTGAGAACGAACGACGGCCATTTTGTCTGTCAATTTTGGGCTGATTTTCACGAAATTCGAATTCAGTCGTCCCTAGGGTGTAACGGTGATATAATAATACAATTTTTTAAATCGGGTAAAAATTATGACTTCTATAGGGTCCACAAGCTAAAAACGTGATTTTTCGTACAATCAGGGGTCATAATTCAGAAAGTTACGGTCCGATATGCACGAATATCGAACGGAACCGAGATCTTTGGGTTATAAACTTACATTTCAAGTTTCAACAAAATCGGATAAAAATTGTGACCCCTATAGGGTCCACAACCTTGATATACCATATTCTTACGCTATTTGGGAACGAACGGCGACCATTTTGTCTGTCAATTTTGGGCCGATTTTCACGAAATTCGAACTCAGTTATCCTTAGGGTGTAACGGTGATATAATAGAATGTTTTTTTAAATCGGATAAAAATTATGACTTCTATAGGGTCCACAAGCTAAAAACGTGATTTTTCGTACAATCAGGGGCCATAATTCAGGAAGTTACTGTCCGATATGCGCAAATATCGAAAGGAACTGAGATCTTTGGGTTATAAACTTACATTTTAAGTTTCAACAAAATCGGATAAAAATTGTGACCTCTATAGGGTCCACAAGCTAAAAACGTGATTTTTCGTACAAACAGGGGCCATAATCCATGAAGTTTCGATCCGATACATGCCAATATCGAAAGCAGCCGAGATCTTTTGGGGATAAACCTATATTTCAAGTTTCGTCGAAATCGGATAAGAATTGTGACCTGTAGAGAGTCCACAAACAATTGTTGGACGGACGTCCGGACGGACAGGGGCGACGGCATAATACGTCCACATGAAAATGTGGGCGTATAATAAAAAATATTTGTATTTGAAAATCCAATGGCATGCTTTCAAATATTTATTTCCAAACTAATCTTACAAAGTATTAGAGGGGCTTTATTTTAAATCAACCTGATTTCAACTGGTTTATACTTGACCTGTCAAAGGGTGCAAGATGGAGAAATGAAATGTCATGAATGAATGAATAGTAGAGGTACAAAAAATGTCTATACGGCTCTTAAGTTTTACTACAGAAAATCTATTGTTATAATTGAATTTTCCTTGGAATTGGAGAAATAAATGTAGGATGTTTTACAGTTTATTTATCTATATCACTAGTTTAATTCATAAACCAGTGAAAGGGCACTAGTCCAGGACTAGTACTGCTAAATAGATCACTAGTCCGTAAGTTATTTTTGGTAGCCCCGGGTGTCGAGCTAGTGGATTTTTACAACCTTGCCATTTTGTCTGGCAGTTTTGGTCCGAATTTCACTAAATTCGAACTCAACCAGCATTATGGTGTAACAGCGATATATTTTAACGTTTTTTTTAAATCGGATAATAATTGTGACCTCTAGAGGGACCACAAGTCAAAAACACGATTTTTCAGACAATCAGGGGCCAGTTATGGTCTGATATGCGCGAATATCGAAAGAAACCAAGATCTTTGGGTTATAAACATGCATATGCATTTCAAGTTTGATCAAAATCAGATGAAAATTTTGACAAGCTAGAAATGGGATTTTTCGTACAATCAGGGGCCATAATCCATAAAGTTATGGTAAGATACATGCCAATATCGAAAGGAACGGAGATCTTTGGGAGATAGACCTATATTTCAAATTTCGTCAAAATCAGATAAAAATTGTGACTTGTAGAGTGTCCGCAAACAAATTGTGGACAGACAGACGTGGACGGATTGAGGCGACGACCATATAGGTCCACATAAAAATGTGGGCGTATAACAAAAACAAGGGATAATAGGTTTAACAGATACTTACTTTGTCTTGTAGTGCCAGCCTAAACGTCTTAATAAAAACTTTGTTAGTACTTTCTACAAACTTATTGAGCTTGTGTATTCCATGATGCCAAACTTTATAAACATCCATCAGAAATGACAATCTCTTTTCTTCCACTGTTTCTTTGAGTAATTGTTCACTACGTAGCATCATAACCTCAACAGTATATCTAAATGCTAGTTTCCATAGATATGTTCTTTCAGCATCACGTACAAACTTCCTGTAATAAGATTTGATCTAAGTTATGTTCTCTTTCTTTCTGTTGAATACTTAAAATGTTTCTCACTTAACATAAGCCATTTTTAGTTTTAGACTACCTGTTTTGTTTTTTTTTATACATTTCACCGATATGCTTACTTGTATAGGTAATTTTTACTTTCATATTTCATGTGGCATATAGCAGATCATGACCTGTGCTGGTATCACACAATGTTTTTCTCTGGGTTTTATTCCTGATTGTTTGTTTTCAAATTTGAGTGAAGTCTGTATCACTACATACTCGGGGCTGTACAGCGCTGTGGACGCTTACGGCTATCCCCCCGGATGCATTCACTTTTAAAATTTGATATGTATGTTTGTTTGTTATTTCTGTGTATTGTGTTTTGTCCGTAGATTTGTCTTGTTTAAATTATGTGTGGTGCAGTCCCCCTTCACTTACTCTTAAAGGACAATGATAGTGTCCACCAATTTTACATATACACGTGTCGTATGTAACTAACGTACGAAAATTAAATGGTAGCTGGCCTATTTTTTTCGCACGTATACAGTGAATGGCCATTTTGCTCAGTAATCCCAGCCAGAATTTGGCTATTTTTTTAAAATTGCGTTAAAGTTTTAAATTTTTGTTTAGAACTGAAATAAATTAACTTTTAGTCAATCCCCACGCTAAAAACATTAACAGAATTGATTGTGTATATCTGAAATAGACACGACCGAAGCACAAAATACTGCCAATATGCCGACGTCAAATCTAGAGTTGTAGATGTTATTTTTGTGAAAAATCATTGGAAGAAGCGATAAGACGTTCTGTACGGATTATACAGTCGTATAGGCTGCAAGAAGGCTATTGTTTACAATGTAACATTGTGTCTTGTAATGTTGATAATGATCATAATGATGGTGTTTACATTTGTTTGTTGATGTGACCTCATGACCTGTGACGTTTAGATAACGTCATATGGATATCATGGCTATTCACTGTGTCAGAGTCACTTCTCTGCAGGTAGGGTGATTCTGTCGTTCAGATTGATACACATGTATGATAAAACTGGTCAAACACGTTTGAATTATAATTTTAACATAGAAATCTTTCCGCTGGTGATTGGAGGTGCAAAGATGGGGCAAAGTCCAAGGTTAAGGGGGCAAAGGCACAAGCATCAACTAGGGCTATGGGAAAGGGGGGGGGGGATCCCGGAAATGCAGTCTGGCAGTATTTCAGGCACTAATCATTGAGATAAAGTGTCAAATGAACGGACTTGCGAACCTCGACGAAGCCCACTCACGAGCGCCAAAGTAGGGAGTCCTTACGGAGGGTATGGCAGGGTGTGCACAAATCAGAACACTTAAAATTCCAGGTGTTTTCCAGGATTTATTTACCAGATTCCAGGAGTCCCTGTATAGAATTCTACCGAGACAAGTCCATTTACGGCGACGAACTCGTGAACTTTTATATCTTAAAATATATAGCGAAACCACAAATGTTAATTTTCCAGGAGTTTCAAGGAGTTATCTTGTTTTCCAGGATTTTCCAGTAGTGGAAATCACATTTTCATTTTTTCAGAATTTTCAAGGAGTTTCAAGGAGTGTGCGAACCTTGTATGGGGATCTCCCACAGAAAATTTTGAAAAATAGACTGCTGGAAAAGCTGTCAAACTTGTGAACCTCAACAAAGCCCCCTTATAAGTGCCAAGGTAGCGAGTCCTTACAGAGAATATTGGGGACCTCCCCAAGAAAATTGTGAAAAACAGACTGCCAGAAATGCTGTCTGACAGTATTCAGGCCACGATTGTTGACATAAACAGAGCTGATCTGATACCATCTGACCCCAGAGAGGAAAGAATCAAACAAACTTTCAACCCTCAACGAAGCCACCGAAAATTTCAAAAATAAACGGATGGAAATGCAGTCTGGCAGTATTTCAGGTACTGAGTGTCAAGATAAAGAGCTTACCCGATACTGCCCGTCGTCAAATCACTAGTTTATCCGACCAAAGAGGAAAGTGTCAAACGAACAAAGTGAGTAAATCAAAGTGAATGAATATTTTTGCCACAATATTTGGAGAAATAGACACTGGTCATCGAGATAAATAGAGCTGACCAGATACTATTCATCGCCAAATCACCAGACCAGCTTATCGGAACAGAGAGGGAGATGTCAAACGAATGGAGTGAATGAATATTTTCGCCGCATTGAACCTGTACCCAAAAACTTTGAGGATTGTAAAAAGCACTTCTCAAGTGGTTCACATGTTATTGTTTATAGTAGCTAAATGGACACCAGACACTGTTACAACAATAACCGTGGGCATATAAAAAGCTGGAGGAAATAATTGTGTTATAATATTATATACTAACCTCCCAGTATCTGGTACTCTTAATAACTGTACATGTATATTATATAACATTCTATTATCTTGTAGTTGTTTTAATATATCTAATAATAAATATATTGATCGATTCATATGGGCTGCAAAACTACCAGCTCTATCAATTTCTTGAACTGGTATTTTCCAAATTCCCTGTAAATAGAACAAGATATGTGTTTTATATGATGGTTAGCATTTCTCTAACTTATCACCTGTCTTTGGTACTTACATGTTGACCGAGGTTGAGGTAACTCAGTCATTAAACCATATATTAACATTGAGGGTACTTACCTGAAAAAAGTTGGCTGTTTTTCTTTCATGAAATAATCCTGGTGTTTCCATATGACTTAGAGACTGCCAATGAGCATTACCTAAGAGGATATCCTTTGCATAGTGTAGATTCTGTAAAATATTTAAAAATATATCATTATTATTACAAAAACATTTACATACAGTAGCACTGTCTTCACCTAAGTGCTTTGCTGCATTTTACATACAATACATGTACATGTAACAAAATATCTAAATGATAAAATTAAGCTTATATAAATAGCCTAACTTTAAAAGAAGAATCAATGCTAAATTTTGATCAGATTGGATGGTAACTATTGCTGTTGCAAGGGGCATAACTCTAGAATCAATTAATGTAAATTGTTGGAATTTGATAGGCTTCTTAATCTTACTGATTAATAATTATTGTTGTTCAACTGTTCATATGGTTCCACAAATTGAAAAGATAGGTTGCCAGGCAACAAAACATACGCCCACATCAGCTAAATAGGCTAACTTTTGTCGTTCGAGTCAAGCGTTCACAAGGTTCAACAGCTCCAGAAATAATTGACGTAAATTGCTGAAATTCAATAGACCTCCGTTTCACAAATTTAAATGATGCATATAAATTTCATACATACATGTATAGGATGATAACTTTCATCAATCGAGCATTAACAATTCTAAAACCATCAGATGATAACTTGTTCACAAGAATTTGTAGACGACAGACGGATGGGGGCGACGGCAATATACGTCCACATTTCCATGTGGGTGTGTAAGGACCATAACTCTAGAAGTAATTAATGGAAATTCTTGTGAAATCCTATATGTTTCTACAATACAACCAAAACAGGTGTTGTTAAATTGACAGTTAAAAAGATGAAAAAATAGAATGGTCTTTCAATCGCTTGTGGGTGCTACATGTATGCAGCACAGCTATATACCAACAAATTACTCAAGGTAAAGTGTTCAACTCACAAAAACACACATTTCAAAACACAAATGTGACTATTTTTCTTAGTACTTTTACAGCATTTATAAAATGAACATGTACATGAAAATTATATCAAACAATAGAACAGGACTTTAGCTTCCAAAATATTTGAAAAAGATAAGACAGACCATGTATGATGAACTGTTATAAATCTGAAAAACAGTTCTTTTCTCCAAAGCGAGCAATGCAGCTGTGACATCTAATTCAAACGTAGCCTCATTTTGAAACAAATGAAAACATCCATTTCAGGTGACATGACACATTAGTTGATATTGTCTAAAGATAATTGCCTTTAGTACTGTAAATATACAACGTATCAACCAGGGCTTCCACTTTAAAATTTTCACAGCCGGTCATTTTTGATATCATTTTTGATAATGCACGAAAACTTTGCAAAGTAAATTCATATTTCATGTTTTTGTATTCATGGCAGGGTATTGTGAATTCACGTGTCTATACCCCTTTTTAGCATGGGGTAAACAAAAACTTATATATTGGACTTAAAAATGAAATATTAGTAAGGCTTATGATACATGTAATTATTTATTAATTAAATATTCCTTTTTGGCTACTTAAATACCCGGTAATTGAAATAGCTGAATTGGTTGTAGAAAAACCATTCCAGTACCTCACACGTAATTACCACATGCTCTATAGAAAACACACTGACCTGGATAATTTTGAGTTGTAATACAATAATTTCGTAATGAAGATAAATATTTAATTATCCACGCCATATATCTCACATTTATTGGTTTTAGGCCATCTCTTATGGCATCTTGGATCGCAGAATTGTAACGTAAATCCTAATAATGAATAACTAAATAAAATAACTAACAGATAACTAACTTCACAGCCCGCGACACTATCGCCCCCTAGAATATCATCGTGTATAAGAGTTACCATATATGGACACAGATCACTAAAGATTTCCCATTGACTCCAATGTTAATTCTCGTATCTTAGACCGGCTCTAACTTTTTCCCAAATTTTCGTTGGGTAGAACGCTTTCTACCACAGATGGAGCAACATGCGGCAACCACTTGCCCAAAAGCACGTATGAGGTTCTTCATGAAAAACTTGAGATACACAAGCTGGAAGTAGAGACAAGTAAACATGCAATTTCAGGCCCTACATTTCAACGTAACCAACCTCTCAACTCTTGTATCCTTCCGCATCAAAATTATGAATATTCACCTAAACCTGGCAGAAAATGTATTTTCAAACCCTTTTCCTCAATTCTACACCAAAAAGTCAACAAAAATCGCCATGCAAAAGGGGGAAAAAGGAAAAGGGAGAGGAAGACTAAAAATAGCTTTGGCCCTTGTTTCGTGGGTGACGGCGTAGGAATATTTGGTGATCTGTGTCCTATATAGGGGTGAAACTTCAGGGATCACCAAAAGGCCTTTTTTATTTCCTTCCCATGTGTTCTGGCAACATGCCGGTGAAAGAAAATCAAAATCAAAGAATAACTGTAAAAATGATGGCCCTTTAAGTACACATGCTGCTTTATGTACACTGGTGCATCTCAGGTCCATAGGCCTTTTGTGCTAAAATTTAAAAATCTTTCTTATTAAAGGCAGTATCTGAGTTCTGTGAAAAAATTAGACAAGTAACAAAGAAACTACATACAAAACACTCATAATTTGGAATTTTTTTCAAAAATATAATTTTTTACTGCCATGTGATGAAAAATGTACAAAATTTACATGTAGCATCTCTCAAAATACCAATAATTTTCCACTTTTTTAAATATCCGGACGGACAAGAAATATATTTTTAGAATCTGTGGACAATATGCAAACAGAAAAAATGCAAACCAGTTGCAATGATTGTAATATTAGAGATCTATACTGAAACATGTATGCCTACCCCCTGAACATGCCACTGATTGAATTAATCTAATCTATGGTTGCAGAACTTACATTACCAAAGGAATCTGTCTAACAGCTATGTTTTACCATCCCTGGCTAACATATGCACATATAAACTAAAATAGGTGCAATAAATATGAATTATGGTTAAAAATAGGCCTTGATGAATGAAAAAAATGCCATATTTGGTCTATGATCACCCCTCTCTAACAGAAGGGTCACAGAATACACAATTTTCACAAATTTGGGAATATTTCAATGTTTCTAACATCTCAAACCTCAGAGGCATGTTACAAATTTGTATTGCAATCCTTGTGCTGAAGCAAGATGTCTGGAACTTTACATTAATTTCCTGAAAAAATGAAGTCAAAAAAGTAGTCATGACAGACTTGACAACATAAAAAGAGGCCTGAAAAGGAGAAAAATTAACATTTTATTGTTTTATAGGCAACATAAATGCAGCAAACACCACAAATGCTGGATTTTGATAAGAAAATATTGAACATTAAACTGACATTTACACATCTACACCAGTTTTATATCTGGGTCTGGTCTCATTGGCCTGAAATGCCTCAGGGTTCTACGTTTGACTCTGAACAAATAAGGGTTAGAAATCCTTGAAATGCACAAAAAAAATATTTTTGGGTGAAAAATAACATTCTTAGCTGTAATTCAACCACAAATTCCAATTAAGATCATTTACATGTCAACACAGGTGCATTTAAATCCCTCAAAACACATTAATAGAAAAGGGTGGGGTGGGGCATTTATTGCCTCTCTAAACAGAATGATGGAGTAAAAAATGTCTAGAAAGGCTGGGATTTTGCTTCCTACATGAAGGAAATGCAAGAATTTAATGTTTCAAAGAAGAAAAAAATGCTTATTCTGGGTAAAATAGTGGCAAAATTGAGCCAACCCCTGTTTTGAACATTTTGTACAAACCCATCTGCTGTACATTATTAACTCAGTGTTACCAATTTTCAATTTTCTGTAGGAAAGCTGGAGCTATTTCTAAACCTGACAAACATGTAGATCCCATCTAAGTTATATTAGCAAAGAAAATATGGGCATTTTTAGACATTTTGACTCATTTTAGTAGTCATGAAAATATTAATTTCTACATCCAAATGGGGGGAATCTCAAGATTTTTTGTGAATATTCCTGATTTTTAGACAAAATTTGGTGAAATTTCAATACTGTTCATTTTATCTGTGCTTTCTGAGACTGAATAAGCCAACATTGGGCATTAGAATATTTTACTTACTGTTAAAAATTCAATAAAAATTGAAAATTGAGAAATTTGCAGTAAAATCACAATTTTTCTTCAAAACTTTGATTTTTTTTTTTTAATTAACTTTTTTTAGTTTTTCTGTAGCCAAACTATTTTATTCATATTTTCTGAGAATTTAATCTTCATATTTTCAAAACTAAGGCATATCAGTGACAGCCTTATCACACACAGACAGGACACAGATCACTAAAGATTTCCCATTGACTCCAATGTTAATTCTCGTATCTTAGACCGGCTCTAACTTTTTCCCAAATTTTCGTTGGGTAGAACGCTTTCTACCACAGATGGAGCAACATGTGGCAACCACTTGCCCAAAAGCACGTATGAGGTTCTTCATGAAAAACTTGAGATACACAAGCTGGAAGTAGAGACAAGTAAACATGCAATTTCAGGCCCTACATTTCAACGTAACCAACCTCTCAACTCTTGTATCCTTCCGCATCAAAATTATGAATATTCACCAAAACCTGGCAGAAAATGTATTTTCAAACCCTTTTCCTCAATTCTACACCAAAAAGTCAACAAAAATCGCCATGCAAAAGGGGGAAAAAGGAAAAGGGAGAGGAAGACTAAAAATAGCTTTGGCCCTTGTTTCGTGGGTGACGGCGTAGGAATATTTGGTGATCTGTGTCCATATACCGGTACACGACATATTTGCAACACATGGAATTATCAATATTGCTGCACAATAGCACTGGAATATGTAATTTTCTGAATTTTTCGGTAAGCAAGTTAATTAATCTCTAGATTTTATTTCTATTTTTCTCCCAACACGTACGTTGTTGAGGATTTACGTAATTTCTATGCTGTTTTATTTGATATGACAGTTGGTTGGATTCGAAGAGCAGTACTTCATATCAATTGCCCTTTTTTCGAAGGGAGGGTGTATGACTGAATGGTTAGTATGTGTGCGCTGTATCATAAAGTCTGTCATTGAGTCAACTGGCGTGGTTTTGATTCCCCGGTTGTACGTGACAAGGAGTAGGGTCGCCTGTCCAACCTCGTGGGTTTTCTCTGGGTCCTCCGGTTTCCTCCCACTGCTAAAGACCCCTAGGCGCAAGCGAATTATTGAAATAAAATTAAAAACCATACGTTAGTCCCGAAATGACCTAGTTTGTGTCTAGTGGACGTTAAACCCCATTTCTCTCTCATCCTCTCTCCTTTTTTCCGAAGATCATAATAATCTTGTTTACATTGTGCGTGACCATAATAGCGGTAAACTGCTTTGTTGTAGGAAATTCTTATGACACGTGGACAATTTGTGAGCGTTCAAATAGTAAATGATTAATCATTGACCGCTTCACAACATTGATAAGATTTCCCCATATCAAGTAACTTTTATTGTTCTACTACCATTAAAGATACATTATGTAAGTTAGATTTAGATAACGAGCTGACCATTCTTGCTATAAAAGCTGAAAAATAGATAATGTAAAATGAAAATATTGAAAATTTCATTCCAATACCTTCATTCGGAGCCAAGTTACCACTGTTTTTAGTTTTGACAAGATGTGTGCATTGTGGTAACCAGGGCACTAGTATATTCGAGACTTAGGCTCGCTTTCCCATTTTTAAATGAAATTCTCAAATGGCCAACCGTTCTAATCTAGTTAAATCTAGTTAAAATTTTGAGTATCTGATGCCATCGAAAGTTGATTATGGTCTTGTTTTGTTAATAAATGTCTAATTAATAGATTAAAAAACATTTCAGGGTTAGAGAAAGACCTGTGATAGGCAGATTTAGCTCTTACATTTATGTATGTTTAATTAGTATAATCTGTTGACAACTATGTATACAACTCTAAACACCAATCACAAGATTACGTGGCTTCTATACGTGTGCATTATTCTGTACTGGCCGTACAATTGTATAGTTACATAGTTTAGGTCGATCATACCCTTTAATTCGTAGCCATGTTTTGAAATTGGGTTTTGAAAAAAAAGGGCTCTTTTTCTGGCATGCATAATGACCGATGGGTCAGATCTAGTTACGGTCATTTTCCATAGCCCTAGGTCTTCACCGGCATATAAGGCCAATGTGGAACCATTGGTATAAACGACAGCATGTTGACAGTTAATTTCAACATAAATGGTGTCACTTCAAAAATTCAACATTTAATAACTTACCTTTTTATACTTAGATGTAGCATAAACATGAGCTAATCTATATAATGATTTATAATGATTAGGAAAACGAGACAAGCACAGATGTAATGAAGCCATACACTTTTCAATCAGTTGTTTATGTACTGTTTCTGGATCATCTGACAAAACTGATTGAGGTTTTCCTTCAGGTTTCTTTGGTTGGACTTTTTTAGTTTCTGGTTGTATTTTGTTTTTTTCTGACTTTTCTAAAATACATTTATCTATGTCCACATCAGAAACATCGGAAGAGTCAATAACGATAGGAGCCTCTGTATCAGATATGCTGCCTGTTTTATCAGTGACATCATACTGAGCAGCTAGGACGGTTTTAGCTGTGTTTTCTGTAGTAGATTTGGTAGATATATCATCAGGTTTATTTTCAATCACTGGATCTGTTTTGTTACTTTCTTGCATTGGTTCATCATCACTAGCTGTCAAATCTATGACGAATGTGTTCTGTGACTGATCTTCATCCTGTTTATCATGATCACTTTCATTCAATTTATCCTCACTAGCCCCGATTTTATTATTTACAACAAGTGTACTAGCACTGAAATTGACTTCACTAGTGATATCTTTAGCATCGCTACTACTGGCACTTCTGTCAATGTCACTAGTTTTAGTATCAGTGGCACTAGTTTTAGTATCAGTGGCACTAGTTTTGGTTTCAACATTACTAGTTTTATTACCAGTGTTGCTATTATCACTAGTTATATCAATGTTCATTTTATTATCACTAACACTAGTTTTACCATCACTAGCTGTATCATCTGTAACACTGTCTTTAGCTTCACTATTTTTACCTTCACTAGCACTAGATTTAACATCGATATCAATCTCCATCCCAACAACACTATCAGTAGTACTGTCTTTATACACCTTGCTTTCTTCTTTGGTCTCACTGGTAGTGGTATCAATAATCTCAACATTACCTTTGACTTCCGTTTTATCATCTGTTTCTACACTTGCCACTGAGGATTTATCAATAGTAGGTACAAATGGTTCTGTTATTTGTTTCTGAAGACACAGTTTTCTAGATGCATTGATCTCCATTTTACTGTCTGTAGAACTTTCATTAACAGAAGAGTAATTATTATCAGAGTCAGAACTTGATGTACTTTTTTTCTTAGAATATGTATGATCCTGTGGTGTCATGTGATATACAAGTTTCTGTTTTGATTGGCTGTAAGCTGAATTAGAAGAGCAACTATCTTCATTTGTGGATTCCCTCCTGAAATAGATTAAGTTCTAATCAAAAAAAAAACCAGCGGCTGCCAGGCAGGATACATCCACATTTTGCAAGAGATGGATAGAACACAAGGATTTATTGTACAATCAGGGGCCATAATCCAGAAAGTTATGGACTTAAATGCGCAAATATCAAAAAGGACTCAGATTTTTGGAATATAAAGATATGTTTTAAGTTTCATCAAAATTGAATAAAAACTGTGACCTCTAGAGGGTCTATCTATAACCTTTGTATTACATACTTGTTCACAATTTGAGTACAAAGAGCGGCCATTTTGTCAGGCAGTTTCATTTTGATTTTCACGAAATTCCAATTCAACCTTCATTATGGTGGAATGGATATCTTGACGGTTTTTAAAATCAGAAAAAAAATTGTGACCTCTAGAGAATACACAAGCTAAAAATGCGATTTTTCGAGCAATCAGGGGCTATAATCCAGGAAATTACGTTCAGATATGTGTGATTATCAAAAGGAACCAAGATATTTATGATAAAAACATACAATTAAAGTTTCATCCAAATCGGATAGAAACTGTGGCCTCTAGAGGGTCCACAACCTTGATATACCATACTTTTACACTATTTGCATACAATTTTTGTCAGATTTTCACAAAATTCGAACTCAACCATCAGTAGTATATAACTGTGAAATATTCACACATTTTTAAATCTGATAAAAATTGTGACCTCTATTAGGACAACAAGCTCAAAATGCCATAATTCAAAAAGTTACGATCCAATATGCGCGAATATAGAAAGGAACCAAGATCTTTGGGATATAAACATGCATTCCAAGTTTCATCAAAATCGGATGAAAATTGTGACCTCTAGAGGGTTCACAACCTTGATATACCATATTTTACACTATTTGCGTACAAGGGGTGGCTATTTGGTTCGTCAGTTTTGGTCAGATTTTCACAAAATTCGAACTCAACCATTATTATTTTTAATAATTATGAAACAGTCAATGCGCGTCTTTTTAGTTATATTTCAGTTCTAGAAAAATGAGTTGTTGCTGGATTTATAATAACTGAAACGTTTTGTAACCACCATGTTAGAAATTGCAAATGCAGTTTTTACTCGCGAAAGCATAAGGATATTAAACATGAATAATGGCATAGCCATAATGGCACATCCTCCTATTAAATTTGACACAAAACCGGAGGCCAAATTCGTAGCGCCCTAAAATGATTAGATCCGAGTCTTGTGACCAGTACAGTAATTTTATTTTAATCATACACGTCTGGTTAATCGAGACTAGGGAAAATAATTTCGTTCAATTAATTTCCAGTCTCAAATTTTTTCTGCGTATTTAGAGCTAGCAACAATGTAACTTCTAAAGTAACTAAAACGCCAACTAACAACAGAGTTTTATGGTTAAATAGAAAAAGGGCAAAACTACATCAGTTGATTCCGAACCGAGAACCGTTACAATATATACGTCATTGGTTACAATCAACTAACTTAGAAATTAAATCGCTGAGTTTTAGCCAAAATTTTAATCTAGTTCATAACTACTTATTTTTAAAAGTCCAACGAGTAAAGAATAATTTTTTACATGGCTTCATTGATAAATAAGTGAATGAATATTGTCACGTGAATGTCTTATTTTGGGCGACTGTTTGCTGTCTACAGTGCACAAGCAAGCCCGTGAGAGCACTTTTCTCATAAATGAAGTTTTGTTCCGCTTGACAACATGCTGTTAAAACAGGTCAGTTTATATAGTATAGATAATTGAGGCTGTGGGCCACTCTACTCTAGAGTGTGCACAAACTAAAAACGTGATTTTTCGTACAATCTTTAGCCACAATCCATGAAGTTATGGTCCGATACATCATATGTGAATATCGAAAGGAACCAAGATCTTTCAAGTTTCATCAAAATCGGATAAAAATTGTGACCTGTAGAGTGTCCACAAACAAATTGTGGACGGACAGGGGCGACGACAATATATGTCCACATGAAATGTGGGCATACAAAAAAAGCAACCCACATATCTATCTACAACTGAATTTCAAATTTTCTTATGTAACATGATAACAATGGTAGCATTCATAATACTATAAATCTAAAATTTAAAAGATAAATCTTACATGCAATAGATCTTTAGAAACCAGGGTAATAGAAAAGACAAAAGAAATGGATTTTATTGTCCTTTTGACAAAAACTAGGTCATTTTGGGACTAACATATGGTTCAATTCTATGTCAATAATTTGCTTGAATGAAATTTTTATATTTTGCTCAAATGAATAAATTCCAGATTTCTATAATACAGGAATGACATCGACTGTAGGTAAAGCAATGAATTTGGTTAATTAAATACCGTTCTTGTCTTTTCTCTCGACCTTTAGCAAAGGGACTGGCTGCGGCTTCTGTTACATAATGATCATATAGTGGGTAGTCATGGACACCATCATATCGCAGTAAATTCTTTAATATGGCAGCATGTAATCTATAGTATACCTTGAACATACACATAACAATTATAGAATGATAAAATATGTCAAAATAAACCACAAGCACAAGAATGTTCCCACAACTTATTCATTCACAAGTACAACATACTAAAGCAAACTTAAGTTATAACTGAATGAAAAACAAATAATGCTCACTCACACTGGGCATGGACATAAAAGTATGGAAAACTGATGGTGTTTGGATGGAACTAAAAAAGTGAATGAATCCTACGACACAGTTTCAGAAAAGTAATAATGTGATTGTGATGTTTGTTCCGGTTAAGAGGTAACATCCATATTTTTATGCACATATTTTGTTCTCAGTAAGTGCCGTGGCCTTTTCATTTCAAATATTTCTTTAAAAATAATATTATTAATATCATTGGAATAAGTTGACATTAATTATGGCAAGTACTCATACTTACTTCTAAAGCTTCTATCGCTAGATGAGGTGGGCTGTTAGAAAATACAATGCGTTTAGGATACACAGCCTCATCTTCATGTAAATATATAGCAGCCTACAACATAGAAATATATTTAGTTACTAGCAGTGTATAGAATTTTATCACCCAATAATACATTCTACAGTAGATATCGCTTGTGTGATATATTTCAGAATCTACTGCGATAACTCCTTAGGAGATATCGCTTTACATGAATTTGATTGGTCAATTGAAAAGGAACTACTTTTTTTTTATTTTCAAAGAACAGTTCATTTCTTATTAAAAGTAACTTTTTTTTATTAAAAATGAACTATTGTTATTCAATTGACCTTGATGGAAACACTGGGTCAATATAAAGGACTTTGCAATGGTTGAATTGCTGTCAAAAAATGATGTATCACTACGCCATAATGTTCAGTAAAAGTGAAAACTACAGCAAAGAATTATATTTATCTATTTTGTGCATGTAAGAAGGGATTGGGTGATAAATAAAATCTACTACTCGTCTTTTTTTGATATCAAAAAAGACTGGTAGGAGATTCTCTATATGTACAGTATTTGTATTAATACAACATCTCTGCTTTCTTAGATTTCTAAATCTCTGATTAGATTTATCAAACAAATTCTAAATGGTGTCTAAAACACTCTTTTAATAAGCTATGCTCATTTGTCTCATTCATTTCATATAAAACAAATTATTCTATAGTTAAACTGTATTAGGGAATTATGGAATCAGTCAGGTGTTAATGAGTATACAGATTTATAAATGGCAATGCACAAATTATATACATGCACCCATTACAATATTCTCCATGTCTTTTTAATTAGAATAAATTAGAGTTAGCCAACAATACACCCAAAATAATAGGCTTCCAATTAAACAAGATGGGCGATTAATTGTTATCGACGCTGCTAATATGAACACCAATATAAATAATTAACTATGTCGGCTTTTACAAAACGAACAGGTTTCAAGTAAAAATCATATGAATTTAGTTTATCAACATTTGTGTTATTGGTCATTTGAACATACAATTAGAAAATGGAGGAAGAATATTTATAGTTATCTTATATTAGTAGTGTAGTAGGTTTGGGTTTTTTTTCAATTAGGACAAGAATCTGTCAAGACAAATCATTGCTATAGCCCCCATCATATATGTTTTAGCCGTATTTATCTCATACAATGCACTCTTTTCGTAAAGATTCGGCTTTTGTAACTCCACCCTCTATCACAAGTGGCATATTCACATTTCCTCTAGCATATAATTTCAAATCACAGGATTAGAAATTAGAAGTAATAAAAACGAGAATAGTTTATTAACTTTCATACATAAGTAATCTGTATTGTTTATTATAACTTTTACGAGATTGAGTTCTGTTAATATTACCAAGTACTGAAGTAGTTATAAAGTAATTAGCACCCTTCCATTGGAGAAATTAAGATTGTGTAGTGTGTTCTGTTATCTCCGTCACACGACTGAATTAAAATATGTTTTATAAAATGGACAATAGTGGATTGAATTCCAATATTAATTTCAATTTATGTGTTTTAAAATTGAACTGTGTTTTTATACGCCCACATTTTCATGTGGATGTATATTGTTTGTGGACACTCTACAGGTCACAATTTATTATTTCATTTTGATGAAACTTGAAATATAGGTTTATCTCTCTATTGGCATGTATTGGATCAAAACTTCCTGGATTATGGTCCCTGATTGTTTGAAAAATCGCGTTTTTAGCTTGTGGACACTCTAGATATAATCGGATAAAAAATGTGACCTCTATAGGGTCCACAGGCCAAAAACACGATTTTTCGTACAATCAGGGACCATAATCCAGGAAGATACAGTCTGATATGGGCAAATAGCGAAAGAAACCGAGGTCTTTGGGACATAAACATATATTTTAAGTTTCATCAAAATCAGATAACAATTGTGAATTCTAGAGGGTCCACAACTTTAGTATGACATACTTTTACACTATTTACGACAAGGAGGGGCCATTTTGTCCGGCAGTTTCGGTCAGATTTTTACAAAATAACAACTCAACCTTCAGTGATGTGTGTAACGGTGGTATATTTAAAACCATTTTTAAAATTGAATACACATTGTGACTTCTGGTGAGTCCACAAGCTAACCAGGCAATATACGCCTACATTATGCAAGAGATGGATAGAGAACAAGCTAATCAGGGGCCATACTCTACAAAGATATGGTCTGAAATGCGCAAATATCAAAAGGGCGGAGATCTTTGGCATATAAAGATATATTTTAAGTTTCATCAAAATTGGATAAAAATTGTGACTTCCAGAGGGTCCACAACCTTGGTATTACATACTTTTACACTATTTGTGTACAAGGTGCAGCCATTTTGTCCAGGAGTTTCGGTCCAATTTTCACAAAATTCAAACTCAACTGACATTATGGTAACAGTGATATATTGGAAAATTTTTTTAAATCGAATAAAAATTGTGACCGCAATGGGACCACAAACTAAAAACCGGATTTTTCATACAATCAGGGGCCATAAATCAGGAAGTTATGATCTATGGGTTATAAACTTGCACTTTAAGTTCCATCAAAATCAGATGAAAATTGTGACCTCTAGAGGGTCCACAACCTTGTTGTACCATATTTTGACAGTAATTTGCGTACGAGGGGGCTGTGATTTTGTTCAGCAGTTTTGATCCGATTTTCATGAAATTTGAACTCAACCTACATTATGATGTAACAGTGATATATTTAAACGGTTTTTAAAATCGGATAGAGATTGTGACCTCTAGGACGTCCTAGTTCAGTTAGAAGAAGGGTTATTGTGTTCCAAAGTCTCGGCAAATCAAATTGCCTATCGCTCTGCTTACCACGAGCAGAAATGCTCATTATCGAACTTAGTCAAGGTTATGATGTAATGAAACTATACAGCAAGTTTCAATACCCTCACTTAATTAGAACTAAAGTTATCGTGTCCCAAAGCATCAACCAATCAAATTGCTTATCTCTGCTTACCCTAGGTAGAAAATGCTCATCTTAGTACTCCATCAAGGCATTGCCCTAATAAACACATACACCAAGTTTGAACATTCTAGCTCAATTAGAAAGAGAGTTATTGTGTTCCAAAAAGTGTGACGGACAGACAGACAGACCCATTTTAATAGTCCCCTTGCTTTCTTCGAAAGGCAGGGGACAATAAACAATTTTACTATCCTATCTATTTTAATATTATATCAGCACATCAAACTGATTTTTTTCCTTTGGAGACTGTTTATAGATTGACCAGGTTAATAAATACGATAAAACAATTAATTTGTCAATCAGTTGAGGCAATCTCGTGCTTTGCAGTAAGGGCTAATAATAACGTAACATATACAAATCTTCAAGCGGGAATTAAAGGACGTAATTTACCGTGATACATTACAAATGACATGTGCTATATGAAGTATTTATGTGATCTTTAGTGAAAATTAAAAACAGTGTTGTGACTGCCATTCCTGGTTTTGAAGGTCAGATATGATATGAAAACAAATATCGGTTTGTAATTTTTTTGAACCGTTTCACCAGTGCAACTCAACCGTGACTGGTTAACCAAGTAGCCGTTTACATCCTTACATAAGTCCAAATATTTAAGATTAAATCTTGTACCTTGTCGAACTATGGACTAGTGGATATTAATGCCAGGCTAGTGTCTGACAATAGGCCACTAGCTCTGGGGTAGTGGATTCAAAAATTTGTTTACACCCCTGCAGCAAGGTGTATAAGATGTGTGGTTCCTGTGATTTTATATGCTCTTTAAAGATATAATAATTTCTAATGTATGAACCAATTTCCAAAGAATGTTTATATAAATCACATGTCAATAATGTTCTAGATAGTCTAATTACCTGTTTATACAATGTTCTAGATCAGTGATTCCCATCGTGGGGGGGGGGGGGGGTGGCGGAGGCAATTTGAAAATGATGTCAATAAGAAAAAACTTTTACACCATAGTAACTTTTGGTACAAATTACTGTCGGAACCACCTATCTCCCCTCCATACATATTATCATGCATCTGGCACCACCTCTATAACAATTTGTTTACATCAATTTTCTGATTACTCTGTTTTTTAATAGCTTTATCTTTGAATTTGTAAACTGATACTCAATGATCCATCATTCAACTTCAGTTGTATGTATATATGCATACAAACATTAATTCTATTCGCCTAAGTCATTGTATTCTGGGTATTCTGTTGAAAACATATAAGAATTACAACATTGTCAGTCCTTGCTAGATATCGTACGTTGGGAGTGAAGAGTGCCTGCTTAATTTTATTATATACTTTTACAAAACTCAATTTATTTCCATATCAAAGGAGGACACAAAATAATTTGCGATGTTCAGGTGGGGATGTACACAAAAGTTTGGGAACCACTGTTCTAGATAGTCTAATCACCTTTCAATAATGTTCTAGATAATCTAATCACCTGTCTGTAATGTTCTAAGTAGTCTTTAGGATGTGCTCCTTTTTTTTCTTTAACCTTGCCCATCATATAATGATGTAACCATTCTTCTTCATTACCATCTGCTTCACATTCACTAGCTTTCCAATAACAATTATGTGATGTCTGTAACATTTCACGTTTACTAGCATTTACTATTTCCAGTAATTCATCCTCCAATGGAAACCATTTTTGCTGGAAAAAAATAATGATAAAATATTCTACATTTATTTTCAAAAAAGTTGATCTGGAAGTCTTTTTTTGTATTAACTTCAGGTTTGTTTTCTACTTAAACTATCAACCATTCAAATCAAATCTGATATACCTCACCATTGCCTTAAAATATTGTTAATGAAGAAATATATTCATTTTTTAAAAAGGAACTTGTACAGTACATCAAAATGAAACCAAATCTAAACTCTATTTATCACAGCAAAAAACAAATGTCACATCTCTTTATGTATGGGCAAAATTCAGAATACATCTAATTTTTAGCTATTAAAAGAATTAAAATAATTGATTGATTTCATTTCCACAAATACATGTGCTTTTTAATACCTTTTAATGTATGACTTACCATTTTAAGTTGCCGTGAAGCGTGAGAATGTAGTTGATAAGCTAAAGAACCATATTCTATCCATAATGTTCTAATAGAATCATTAATTTCTACAGCTCGTTTAAAACATCTTAAAGCAGCTATAGCTTTCTTATGTACAGGTGTATCTAATTTTAATTCCATCTATAAAACATGTATGGAAAACTTTAAAGCTAACAAATAATATACTATATACAGACCTTTAGCTCCTTAAAAATACAATGGAAAATAACCAGGTAATTTATAAATTTTAAGTTCAGATGGGGAAAAGAAATATATTGAGAATGCATATGCAAAACTTAAAATTTAGATGGTTTTGCCTTCAAAGCTATAAGTTGTGTGCATACTCTTTCCAGAACATTTGATACCACTTTTCAGTTTCACTGGCCTTAGGATGTAGCTGACAGTTTGTTCTTCATATAATTGACATTAATTTGGTTTATTTCGATACATTGTCAATTGAATTTTTTTGTCGTTGTGAAGGGCTTTATCACTCATTTTCAAATTCTAGAATATCTGTGCTGTGTTCATGTACTATTGTATGTTGTTGGGCTGTGAAGAGTTATACTTAGACAATCACAAAACATCACATGGTATGAAAACTTCACAGTTAGCGACCATGGAATAGTACATTTGTACTTACAGCATTTAATTTTTGTTCTAACTGGCTCATTCTAGCTAAAGCTGTACCAGCCCATGAATCTAAACGTAGTGGGTTTACACATAGATCATATTGATAAAACCGTGTAGCTTTCCTACAATAAATAAATATGCATATTATTACTATATTATAACCCTTGATATCACATAGTAATTGTGCCTGTCTTCTTTTCTATGTCTTTAAAAACAAAAGTGCAACATTTCCCTTTCATAAAAATTTCAAAATTACAGCAGGACATTTATAATGTGATTAAAAAAACATGCATAAATAACAATAGTTTTAACACTGACAGTAAAGAAAGGTTGTCGGGCAACTAAACATATCTCATAGGGATGGGCAATATCTGCTATTTTCAACATTGTGATATTTCAGTATTCATATTGCAATATATAATTATATATTGTTGTAATAAGCAACAAGCTGTTTGTTTGTGAAAAAATCGTGATATATCAAATTATGGCCAGTGTATCACCTTTGTTATACTATTTTTTGTTTATCTGGGATGGCAGATCAATAAACAACTCCAATGGTTCCCAAACAAAATCGACAAAGAATAATCCCTTCTGTTCGTTGGATTCGTCAAATCCGAAATACAACTGATTGTACACAGTATATCCCTTTGGAAGAAGTTTGTGTCAAGGTAATGGGTTTGAGTTAGGTTGAGTTTAAACTTGACGTTTTGTCGTCGGGATCTTTACCCATTTCTTGGACTTCATTTTGTTCATCTAAGAAGTCACTGCATTTCCGATTATTAGTTCCTGCAGCAGCTGTGTAGCTAAGAATAACAACGCTTACTTTTGCTAACATACTTCTTAGAAAAGATTAATTTGCATTGTAACTATAGTAATTTGCAGGTCAGTAATTTGAAGTTTGCCAGATTAAGTGCTTTTCTTTCTAATTAAATACGCATTTTGGGAACAATGATTATGAAAGGCAATAATAATTCCAGCTATTGCGGTACCATACTGAATTTGGGTAAGTATAAAGGGAATTCACAGTGTGACATTTTTCGAAGGCGATATTAGTGACAATAATGTCAATTTGTTTACATGACGGTATATTGGTTACCTGAATTTTCATACTGGTTGTCACATTGTAAATGTTTAGGTAAATAAAAATAAAAATATTTATACCGTATAATATAACTGGTATGTAGAAAAGATTCTGTGACATAATCAAAAATTGTTGAAATTCGAAACATAACATTTGTCATTAGAACATTCACAAGATTTTACAAAGTGAAATTGTTGAAATTCCATAGGCTTCTTGGTCTCTTTTATTTAAATAATGGATATAAAATTCACTAACTTAATGAGATTTTAGAATTAATCAAGTTCCCAAAATATAATCATGCATTACAATATTTATACTAATACTGAATGATTTATAAATGAGATGTAGGCTTAAAACTTACGATGTTTCTTTGTTCTTGAAATAATAATCAGCTAATAAATAATACAACTCCTTTAATACTGGGCTGAAATAATAATCAGCTAATAAATAATACAGAACCAAATTGAATGGACAAAAAGGAAAAAATCACAATTTGGAATGAAAAATTGTGTGCCAGTACTAATTTTGAAGGAATATTATGTAAAAGAAGAACTTACTTATCTGTTTCATATGAAGGAGGTGTATTTATTTCACCATCTATATATTTTAATACTGTATCTATTCTACTAGCTGTAAATCATAAATATTACAGGTTACTATATGTGTTCATAACAGGAAACTAAATATTCTAAGGCAGTTGATACTCACAGTCACTTCAAAATAGAAAATCTCTTTCAAAAATAGCATTACGCTGGGCTAAGTATTATGCCTAAATTTAGAGAGTTATGTGTTAAACTCATCTAAATCATAATTGATCGAGGCAACATGGATTTTTTTATACAGCAGACTTATCTCCAGCTGTTTGAGACTATACAGTATTCTTTATAAACCAGTCTATTCCTTCCATATTTTTCATTGGAAAATTATAAGAAATGTGTGTTTTACTCTTTAGAATAGAATAGTTTTCTTGTCTTTACTATTTATGGAATGCACCGATCTAATCTTTATAGTCAGAGTGAGACAATGTTTTAGATTAGTTGTTTGCCCCTGAAGCTGATTGTCTCCCTTAACCCTATAAACTCACCCCCTAAACTGGCGTTTTACCACTACTATCTGTTAGTGTTAGTGTTACTGGGCAAATGGTAAAAAAAAAAAAAATCTTAGAAGAACCACATGTTATACGTTTCTAATTATGGCACTGGCAGGGCTTTCTATAGGGGATCATTTCGTTGACCCCCACATGCATGAACTTTGACCTTGACCTTTTTTTTAATCTGACCTCTTACTCCAAAAATAAGGTTAACTTTTCCATTTAACCTCAAACAGGTCACAGGGATTATAAGCTGGTAGTTTTTTTTTAGGTAGATTCAAAGAAAACAACTAATCTGTGTATTATTCATAATTTTGGCATTAAAATCAAAAAAGTTATGAGACATCAAAGATGATAACCATTGTGAGAAAATAAATGGATGGATTTAAAGATAAAATTAAATATCACAAATATATGACTAGAATTAAAAAATAAAGACATAATTCAGTAATTAAGAAAATGACCTTTTAGCCCACTATTGACCTTTGACTCAATGGGTTGACCTTTGACCTGACACACTGACGTATGACCCCCCAAATTAGTATTTTAATACTTTTGCTGTTAAAATGTTACCCACAGCTGCTATTATGCAAATACTACAGCATTTGCAATAATATAACACCATCCCAAAGACAATAGCACTTTTTTACACCGAAATATGAAAGTAGACACAAGGCTGATAAGAAAAATTCCGAAGGAATAGGCTAGACTTGTATAACACGACTTCCATGTTGAATAGTCGCCTGTTCTTAGTCTCGATTCAAAGGAAATTTTCGTGGCTTTCGATTGATATAAATTATATTCATTTACTATGAATACTTTTTTTTGATATGACGTGATGAATTGATCAATTGCCGGCGATAGATTTTAAGAAGGGATGAGTTGATACTTGATAGGATTAAAGAGCACTTTAAGTGACCAAACAAATTTTTTTGTACTTATAGCCAGTGGTCACTATATACATTTTATGGCAAGTTCACACCAATTACTAGGTCATCGCTAACGCTGCAATATAGTCCACATGCCTGCTTTCATTGATATGGTACTTTTTACCCGCGGCTGCCAGGCAAGATACGCCCACATTTTACAAGAGATGAATAGAGAACAAGCTAAAAAAAAACCCTCAAGATTTTTCAAATAATCAGGGGCCATAATCCAAGAATGCACGAATATCGAAAGGGAAGTTAACTTATAAATCAATATATCCGGTAATTTGTCTGCGATATCACTTCGGTGGAAGCGGGCGTTAAATAAAACTATTTTACACAAACACCCACACGTGGTTATAATACAATAATTGAAAACTAAAGTAGAAATCTCGAACTCAACCGTCATTACGGTGTTACAGTGATTTATTCGAACGTTTTTTTAAATTGGATAATAATTGTGACCTCTAGAGGAACCACAAGCTAAAAACGTGATTTTGCGTACAATCAGGGGCCATAATTCAGGAAATATAGGTTTCAAGTTTAATCAAAATCAGATGAATCGTACAATCAGGGGCAATAATCCATGAAATTTTGATCCAATACGTGCCAATATCGAAAGGAACCAAGATCTTTTGAAGATAAACCAATAGTTCAAGTTTCGTCAAAATCGGACAAGAATTGTGACCTGTAGAGTGTCCATTAACAATTGTGGATGGACGGGGTGACGACAATATATGTCAACATGAAAATGTGGGCGCATAAAATGAAGAGAATGAAATATGAGATAGCTGCAATAACTGTAATATGGCAAGAGGCAAAGAAGGCTAGACGTTGGGTTTGTTTTGCCAAATTAAGAGACTAAATTTTAACAAAAGATAGGATGCCAGGCAATGAAACATATGCCCACAGCAGCTAAATCGTCCGAGCGGTCGACAAGGGTTGTCACATATTTATTCCTTTATAGGTAATTGGGGGCCATTTACAAGACAGTTCCATACAGATCAGATTATAATTGTTGCCGTTTGAGTGTTCACAAGGTTCTACAAACTGAAACAAGGGTCTCAACTCTGGAAGTAATCTACAGAAATTGTTGAAATTTGACAGGCTTTTCCATTTTACCAATTTAAATAATGCATATAAATTTCATACAGATTAGATGATCACTTTTGTCACAAGGTTCACAACCGCCATAACTCTTGAAATTATTGACGGAAATTGCTGAAATTCAATAGATCTCTGTTTCACAAATTCAAATGATGCATATAAATTTCATACATATCGGATGATAACTTTCATCAATCGAGCATTAACAAGGTTGGGCAAAGTGAAACAAGGGCGATAACTCTAGAAGTAATAAACGGAAATTGCTGAAATTCAATAGGATTCTTCTCTTTACTAATTTAAATAATGCATGCAAATTTCATACAGATCGGCAGATAACTTTTAATGTTAGAGCGTTCACAAGGTTCAAAAACGTGAAACATAATAAACGGAAATTTCTGAAATTCAATAGGCCTCTTCGATTCAATAATTTAAATAATGCATATATTTCAGAAAGATCTGATGATAACTTTTGGCGTTAGAGAGAGAGAGAGAGAGAGAGAGAGCGAAGGAGTCTTTAGCACTGGGAAAAAAAACGGAGGTCCCGGAGAAAACCCACGAGGTTGGACAGGCGACCCTACTCCTTGTCACGTACAACCGGGGATTCGAAACCACGCCAGTTGACTCAAGGCTTTATGATACAGCGCGTACGTGCTAACCATTCGGCCATCCAACCCCCCTTTTGGCGTTAAAGCATTCACAATTTCCAATAAAGTGAAACAAGGGTGATAACTCTAGACGTAATGAACAGAAATTATTGAAATTAAATAGGCTTCTTTGTTTCACTAATTTAAATCATGCATAAATTTCACAAAGATTGGGTGATAACTTTTGGCGTTACAGCGTTCACAAGGTTCAATAAAGTGAAACAAGGGCCATAACTATAGACGTAATAAACGGAAATTGCTGAAATTCAATAGGCTTCTTCGATTCACTTATTTAAATAATGCATATAAATTTCAGAAAGATAGGTTGATAACTTTTGGCGTTAGAGCATTCACAAGGTTAAACAAAGTGAAACAAGGGCCATAACTCTAGATGTAATAAACGAAAAAAAATTGAAATTAAATAGGCTTCTTCATCTCACTAATGCAAACAACATATATCAGTTTTAAAACAACTGGATGATAACAGCGTTCACAAGAAATTGTGGAAGATGGATGGACGGACAGACCAACAGACGGACGGGGGCAATGTGACAGCGCCCCAGGGGGTTGGGGCATGCACCAAAATAAACAGTTGCTGTCTTTACGGTATAAGGAATACATATACCAAGTTCCAAGTTGATCCATTCAGAATTGTGGCCTGTATACGATAAACACAAAAATTGGGTGTGGTTCTACATCTGGGGTGGGGACATGCTCTGTCCCTGGGGGTGGGGCGTGCACCAAAAGTAATAGAGGTCATCCTTAGGGTATAAAGAATAAGTATGAAAAGTTTCAAGATGATTCATTTAGAAGTGTGGCCTGTAGGGAACACACAGACACCCAAAGAGAAAATGGCCATGGCTCTGCCCCTTTGAGTTGGACATGCACCAAAAACAATAGGGATGATCTTTAGGGTGTAAAAAATAAGTATGCAAAGTTTGAAGTGAATCCATTAAGAAATGCGGTCCGAGGACGACAAAAAATTAAATACAAGAAATGGGTATGGCTCTGCGTCTGGGGGTTGGCCATGTACCAAAAACAATAGGGATCTTCCTTAGGGTATAAGGAATAAGTATGTAAAGTTTCAAGATGATCAGTTAAGAATTGCAGCCTGTAGGCAACAAACAGACAATATATGTCCACATTATAAATGTGGATGTATAAAACTCATGCGACAAATTATCACAGGGACTACACATACAATATACACTATTATGGTCTTATCACTATCCATACACACCACCAGTTGACTAGTGTGTATTGATGGTTCAATTAACATACTTACTGACCTAATCATTACCTCATAAAAATTTTCTACATTTAAAGATACATTATGTACGATTTAGATACAGAGCTAGCCATTCTTGCTATAATAGTTCGAAAATAGATACTGTAAAATGAATAATTTGAAAATTTCATTCAAATTACTCTGTTGCGAGCGATGATATTAGCCTTTGAAGGTTTGACAAGACATGTGCAATAATTTCAACCACCATACTGATTGTTCGAAGCTAAGTCTCGCTCCTCCATTTTTAGCTTAAATCAAAATATGGCTGAACTGTTCTAATCTATTTAATATCGGAGAAATCTGATGCCATCAAGAGTTGATTAGGGCCTGGATAAGTTAATTAATGTCTAACTAATAATTTAGAAAACATTTCAGACCTAAAGAAAGACCTGCAATAGGCAGATAAGCTACAAATCACTTTGTAACATGGACGGGAAATCTTCCTTTGTTCTTTTCGTTGAATAAGCTGATTGTTTTCCCTCTAGTAGATGGGTGGAGCTTAACTAGACATGGAGCTATAACTAGACATGTTCAATGTTATTGCACATTTTTGCTGGTTTACACTAGTTTTAGTAGAAATCATACAGAGAAGTGGGGTGGGTTTTCTGTGCAATAACACTAAGCATGTTGAGCAGTTGTCAATGTTACAAGTCATTTATAGTCGTGCTATAAATATAACATAATTCAAAGCATTTTTAAGAGCTGACCTTCCTCGTCTTGAATTGTTATAGATTACAAACTTGTGACTAGAATATATTTGAGTGAATTTTAAAATGGCACATTATATTTGTGCTGTTGAGAGTTGTGGAAATTCCAGCAAAGAAAAGGTACATAATGTGCTGTCGATTCTCTTCTGTCAAAAGTAAATCGATCATGAACATAGCCCATACAACTGCGGCAACCAACATGAATCACCAATGAACTATATTACAACCACCCAGCTATCAATTTAGAATGGAAAGAATTGAAAGCCAATTACATTCAATGGAGGATTAAATGAGAAAGATATAGCGATGGGAGGAGACGGTAGGGCAGCTACACCTGATCACAATGCTAAGTTTGGCTCCTATACCATGCTGATTGATGGAAGTGGAGAAATCTGTTGTATTTGATATACAGTTAGTCCAGGTTAAGTCTTAATTCGTATTTATCACATGGCAAAAATCAAATGAAGGATATTGTACAAGGCTTTGTGTAAACCTTATTTTTGATCTCGCTGGCTTACAAAAGATAACTATCTAATCAGCATTCTTAATCCCATTAGAAATCATTCCTAACACTGAAGTGTTAATTCAGTTATTGCAACTTTTAGTCGGATTGATTAATGAGAGATACTAACGACACATGTACACTTGCCATATTAATACACAAATACAGTCAGATTCCCTTCTCAAACAATCTGTTATTCAATTTAGTTGGCTACCAACAAAATTAGTAATGAAGTCACATCCACATGGAGAAGGAACGTTCCATTCGCACTGTGTGATGATGACTCCAGGAAAATGATCACGTATTGTCATTTACAAATCGTTTAATGGATCTGCAAAAACCTGGTAAATATGAAGCACTTCTTCGATGTCTGAGCATAGCTAAAGGTAAATTTGTTTTATTTTATAGCTTGATAAAGAGTTTGGATCATCCTAAAACATATCACTGACATCTCAAAGTAGACTATATTGTTAGACTATATCTTGGAAGGTCATTGGAACGAAGTAATTTCTCAAATAAATGTTTATTTTAAAATTTGAATTATTACTGTTTCTTCCAGGCTTGGAAACAAAATTGATATCATTTGGAAAAGAAAAACAGTGTGAAAGCATCAATCTTTGGAACCATCACTATTGTTGTACTGCGGCCAGATACAAAGAAACTGTTGTTGATCATATGCAGGAATGTCACCATGAAATGACCAATGCTTGAAACCATTTCGTTTCGTAAAAGCCGAAATTAATATTTATATTGGCATCATAGATGTTCGTAGCACCATCGATAACATGTTCACAACAATCTTCTTGTTTTTAATCTAAAGCCAATTATTATGGCTACAGCGACTGTCTTTGTTATGGCATTATAAAATAAATTCTAAATTGGATCTTAAATTAAAATATTCCAGAGTCAATTGTTTTATTTAATCAGAGGATTAAGGAGTCAGTGGACTTTGAGTGAAGATAGCTGAATTAATTTTAATCAGATCAGATTGGTGTGAACTTGCTGTAAAGTGCATATAGTAACCACTGGATATAAGTACAGAAAAATTTGTTTGGTCACTTGATGTACTCTTTAAATGAATATAGATTGTCATGTCAATAAGATTGGCTAGTAAGAATAACATTACGTCAGGATCTAACTATCCTCACCTCCGATCATATCAAAATTTTATATCAGAATATTGTATGCCCTTGAATGTTTAGTTTTTCAAACAATGCTAGTTCCATGCTAATCCTTCTAAAATTGCAGTTTATTGGCTAGTAAGAATAACATTACGTCAGGATCTAACTATCCTCACCTCCGATCATATCAAAATTTTATATCAGAATATTGTATGCCCTTGAATGTTTAGTTTTTCAAACAATGCTAGTTCCATGCTAATCCTTCTAAAATTGCAGTTTATTGTACATTTTGTTACTTAATTAGATTATGTATAAAGATCTTTATTATATTTATTTACCTGCTCCTATATCTTCTGGTACCAGTACAAAAACTCTTCTTAATAACCCTTCTAACTAAATATACAAACAAAACAATATTCCAACATTCTTTCTATAACAAGAGCATCGGTACCGCTGCAATATAGGTCCACATTCCTGGGGGTCTGGGCATGCACCAAAATATATAATTGCTGTCTTTACAGTATAACTTATAGTATAAGAAATAAATATGCAAAGTTCCAAGATGATCCATTTAAAATTGCAGCCTGCAGACGATAAACACAAAAATTGGGTGTGGCTTTGCCCCTGAGGGTTGGATATGGAACAATATAATTATAAATAGATACAACCCTATGGTGGATCATGCTGAATTTGACCCAAATCTGTTCATAATTGCAACCTATAGATAATTTACCAACAAAATATTAACAAAAAGTCGGTGTGGCATCACCCAAGCAGGGTGGATCATGCCCCAAAATCAATTACAGTTGCGTCCTTAGGTTATAAGGGATAAGTACACAAAGTTTCAAGATAATCCATTCAGAATTGTGGCCTTCAGATGCTAAACATAAAAAATGTGCGTGGCTCTCTCCTTGGGGCCAGGGCATGCACCAAAAGAAATGAAATGAAATGAAATGGAGTTTAACGTCCTACTGTTCTGCTCCTAACCTGGGCTAATGAAGACGGGCATACGCCATACAGTGTGCAATGAGGGAAATTTTGCCTAGACAGCGGCACTACGGCCTACTATTATATCGAATTCCAACTGCCAAGGGATCTTTTACGTGCACGCCAATGTGTACACGGGACCTCGGTTTTTCGTCCCATCCAAACGACTAGACAGCTTTCCTTGTCAGCCCCTCCGTCCTGCATCACTGACAAGGGAGAACCACGCCGGAAAATCTGGATGAACTTTCTCGGCCAATGCAGGGATCGAACACCCGACCTCCAGGCTAGCGAGCTAGCGTCTTACCCACTTAGCCACGTGATCCCCATGCACCAAAAGCAATGATTGCCGTCCTTAGGCTATAAGGAATACATATGCAAAGTTCCAAGATGATCCATTCAGAATTGTGGCCTGTATACGATAAACACAAAAATTGGGCATGGCTCTACCCCTAGGGGGAGGGACATGCACCAAAATCAATAGCTGCCATCATCTTTAGAGTAAAATTAAAAAGAAGAGGTATGCAAAGTTCCAAAAGGATCCGTCAAGAATTGCAGTCTGTAGGCGACGCAGAGACACAAAGACAGGTTGCCAGGCAACGAAACATACGCCCACAGCAGCTAAATTGTCCGAGCGGTCGACAAGGGGTGTCGCATATCTATTCCTTTGTAGGTAATTGGGGGCCTCTTCAAGACAGTTTCATACAGATCAGATTATAATTTTTGCCGTTTGAGTTTTCACAAGGTTCTACTAACTGAAACAAGGGTCTCAACTCTGGAGGTAATCTATAGAAACTGTTGAAATTTGACAGGCTTTTTTGTTTTACTAATTTAAATAATGCATGTATCAATTTCATACACATCAGATGACCACTTTTGTCATTCAAACGTTCACAAGGTTCACAACCGCCATAACTCTAGAAATTATTGACGGAAATTGCTGAAATTCAATAGACCTCCGTTTCACAAATTTAAATGATACATATAAATTTCGTACATATCGGGTGATAACTTTCATCAATCAAGCATTAACAAGGTTGAACAAAGTGAAAAAAGGACAATAACTCTAGAAGTAATAAACGGAAATTGCTGAAATTCAATAGGATTCTTCTCTTTACTAATTTAAATGACGCATGTAAATTTCATACAGATCGGCAGATAACTTTTGATGTTAGAGCGTTTACAAGGTTCATTAATGTGAAACAAGGGCCATAACTCTAGACATAATAAACAGAAATTGCTGAAATTCAATAAGCTTCATTTCACTAATTTAAATAATGCATATAAATTTCAGAAAGATCGGATGATAACTTTTGGGGTTCTCAAGGTTCAATAAAGTGAAACAAGGGCCATAACTCTAGACGTAATGAACAGAAATTATTGAAATTAAATAAGCTTCTTCGTTTCACTAATTTAAATCATGCATATAAATTTCAGAAAGATAGGATGATAACTTTTGGGGTTCTAGCGTTCACAAGGTTAAACCAAGTGAAACAAGAGCCCTAACTGTAGAAGTAATAAATGGAAATTGCTGAAATTCAATAGGCTTCTTCGTTTCCATAATTTAAATATTGCATATAAATTCTACAAAGATTGGATGTTAACTTTTGGCATTAGAGCGTTCTCAAGGTTCAACAAAGTGAAACAAGGGCCATAACTCTAGACATAATAAAACGGAAATTATTGAAATCAAATAGGCTTCTTCATCTCACTAATGTAAACAACATATATCAATTTTAAAACAACTGGATGATAACTTTTGGCCTAGAGCGTTCACAAGAAATTGTGGAGATGGACGGACGGGGGTGATGGCAATATACGTCCACATTTCTATGTGGGCGTATAAAAATTGCGTGTGGCTCTGTCCCAGGGGGTCGGGCATGCACCAAAAAATAATAGAAGTCATCCTTTGGGTATAAGGAGTAAGTATGAACAGTTTTTAAGAAGATCCATAAAGAATTGCGGCCTGTAGGCGACACACAAAGAGAAAATGGGCGTGGCTCTGCCAAGGGGGTGGGGCATGCACCACAAACAATAGGGATGATTCTTGGGGTATAAGGAATAAGTACACAAAGTTTCAAGATTATCCGTTAAGAAATAAAGTCTGTAAACGACAAAAAAAAAAACACAAATGGGCGTGGCTCTGCACCAAAAACAATAGGGATCATCCTTAGGGTATAAGGAATAAGTATGCAAGGTTTCAAGACAATCTATTAAGAATTGGGACCTGCAGGTGACCCACGGGTACACACACACACAGACAGGGGCGACGGCAATATACGTCCACATTCATAGTAAAAAAATTAATTTCAACAGACCATCTTACGTAGAGGATTGTAATTGTAAAATTCACTTTAATAGAAAGACACTACTGTTTAGGTTAGCTTGACTGAAGAATGTTACAGGGTGTTTTATTTTTCTTTGATTCGGTAGACATGGGGCGCATACACTGTGGACATACATTACAAAGTAGAGGCTGAAAAATATGTATCTTATTTAGCTTAGCTGATATAAAATATATTTACCTCAGCTGATACAGTGCTAGCTTTATAACTATCAAATTCTGGTACCGCTGATGGCTTGAAATATTCAAACACATTTTGTGCTCTGATCCATGTCAAAGAAATCTGATTAAAACAAAATATTTATACAACCATGAACTAACAACCAATCACACTAATCAACAAGTGGTTGTCATGCAAGATACGCCCACAATTTGCAAGAAATGGACAGAGAACAAGCTAAAAAAAGAGGCGATTTTCATACAATCAAGAGCCATAATTCAGGTAGTTACGATCCAATATGCGTGAATATTTAAAGGAACCAAGATCTTATAAACATGTATTTCAAGTTTCATCAAAATCGGATCAAAATTGTGTCCTCTAGAGGGTTCACCACCTTGATATACCATATATTTACAATATTTGTGTATGAGGGGCAGTCATTTTGTCCTGCAGTTTTGGGCCGATTTGTATGAATTTCGGACTCAACTATCATAAGGGTGTAATGATGATATATTCAAATGTTTTTTTAAATCGGATACAAATTGTTACTTCTAGAGGGACCACAATCTAAAAATGCCATTTTTCGTACAATCAGGGGCCATAATTCAGAAAGTTACGATCCGATATACGTGAACATCATAAGGGTGTAACAGTGATATACTCAAACGTTTTTTTAAACAAGCTAAAAACACTATTTTTCGTACATTCAAGGGCCATAATTCAGGAAGTTATGATCGATATGCGCGAATATTGAAAGGAACCAAAATCTTTGGGTTATAATATGTATTTCAAGTTTCATCAAAATCAGATGAAAATTGTGACCTCTAAAGTGTCAACCCTCTAAAAACGTGATTTTTCGTACAATCAGGGGCCATAATCCAATAAATTATGGTTCGATATATGCCAAAATTGAAAGGAACTGAGATCTTTGGGAGATGGACCTATATTTTAAGTTTCGTCAAAAATCGAATAAAAATTGTGACCTGTAGAGTGTCTACAAACAAATTGTGGACGGACATCCAGACAGGGGCGACATGAAAATGTGGGCATATAAAAATTCAAATGGAAAGAAAACCAACAAAATATTACATTTTTGAAATTCATTATTAAATATACATTGTAATAAATCCTAAATTTGAATGCAAGTTAAACGCATTTTATTTTTTCTACATTCATACCAATCATAGATCAATTCAAACTACAAACCGGTGGAGAGTTATGATCCTGTAATCTTCTACTTTTGATTTTTTTATTAGGATGACCATAGAGACAATAAACACATTGTTCAAATGCTATATCAAGATCCTCTTTAAGATTAGCTGAAAGTTTGGGTTTCTTTCTCTCTTTTTTAAGAATTTTCAAGAAGAGAAGCAGAACAGCTCCATTGTTCTTTGTACACCAAGAATGTCTGAAATCATAAATAAGTTACAAAATAAAAGTTCAACAAGACTAAAATAAACGTTTTGCCATATTAAAATGAAATGAAATGGGATTTCACATCCTACTTTTCTGTACAAAGGCCATGGCTTTTTGTTCCATGCAAATGACTAGACACTGTTCATTGTTAGACCCCCGTCTTGCACCACTAACAAGTGGATATCAAGCTTGAAAGTCCCAGGGAACTTTCTCGGCCCACACCATGATCTCTTGGCGAGTGCCTTACTAACATAGCCACTTGCCATACCGATCGTATTAAGAACCAGCGGCTGCCAGGCAGGATACACCCACATTTTGCAAGAGATGGATAGAGAACAAGCTTAAAACAAACGTGATTTTTTGTACAATCAGGGGCAATAATACAGAAAGTTATGGTCTGAAATGCGCGAATATCAAAAGGGACTGAGATCTTTGGGATATAAAGATATGTTTTAAGTTTCATCAAAATCGGATAAAAATTGTGACCTCTAGAGGATCCACAACCTTCATATTGCATACTTTTACACAATTTGCGTACAAAGAGTGGCCATTTTGTCAGGCAGCTTCATTTCGATTTTCCCAAAATTCGAATTCAACCTTCATTATGGTGGGATGGGGATATATTTAAACAGTTTTTAAAATCGAAAAAAAAAAAATGTGCAAGCTAAAAATGCGAATTTTCAAACAATCAGGAGCCATAATCCAGGAAGTTACGTTCGGATATGCACAATTATCAAAAGGAACCAAGATCTTAGTGTGTAATGGTGATATATTCACATGCTTTTTTTTTAAATCGGATAAAAATTGTGACCTCTACGGGGACCACAAGCTAAAAACACGATTTTTCGTACAATCAGGGGCAATAATTCAGGAAGTTACGATCTGATATGCATGAATTATATCAAAAGGAACCAAGATCTCTGGGTTATAAACATTTATTTCAAGTTTCATCAAAATTGGATCAAAATTATGACCTCTAGAGGGTCCACAACCTTGATATATACCAGATGTTATACACTATTTACGTACGAGGGGCGGATATTTTGTCTGGCAATTTTCAAGAAATTCGATCTAAATAAACATCACGGTGTAGCGTTGATATATTCGAACAGTTTTTTAAATCGGATAATATTTGTGACCTCTAGAGGGACCACAAGCTAAAAACATGATTTTTCATACAATCAGGGGCAATAATTTAGGAAGTTACCATCCGATATGCCCGAATATCGCAAGGATCCAAAATCTTTGGGTAATAAACATGCATTTCAAGTTTTATCAAAATCAGATCAAAATTGTGACCTCACGATGGTCCACAATTTTGATATACCAGATGTTTAGACTAATTGTGTACGAGGGGCGGCCATTTTGTCCGGCAATTTTCGTCCGATTTTCAGGAAATTCGAAATCAGCCAAAATTACGGTGTAACGGTGATATATTTGAATGTTTTTTTAAATCGGATAATAATTGTGACCTCTCCAGGGACCTAAAGCTAAAAACGCGACTTTTTGTACAATCAGGGGCCATAATTCAGGAAGTTACAATCCGATATGCGCGAATATCAACAGGAACCAAGATCTTGGGGTTATAAACTTACATTTTTCAAGTTTCATCAAAATCAGAAGAAAATTGTGACCTCTAGAGGGTCCACAACCTTGATAAACCATATTTTTACACTATTTGAGTATGCAGGGCGACCATTTTGTCTGTCAGGTTTGGTCTAATTTTTACGAAATTCGAACTCAACCATCCTTAAGGTGTAATGGTGATATATTCAAACGCTTTTTTAAATCGAATAAAAATTATGACCTCTATAGGGTCCACATGCTAAAAACGCAATTTTTCGTACAATCAGGGGCAATAATTCAGGAAGGTACAGTCCGATATGCGCAAATATCGAAAGGAACTGAGATCTTTGGGTTATAAACTTACACTTCAAGTTTCAACAACATTGGATAAAAATTGTGACCTCTATAGGGTCCACAACTTAAAAAGTGATTTTTCATACAATCAGGGACCATAATCCATGAAGTTACGGTCCGATACATGCCAATATCGAAAGGAACCAAGATCTTTTGGAGATAAACCTATATTTCAAGTTTCGTTGAAATCGGATAAAAAATTGTGACCGGAAGAGTGTCCACAAATAAATTGTGGACAGACAGATGGACAAACAGGGGCGACGGCATAATACATCCACATGAAAATCTGGGAATATAAAAATAAAATTTTCTATCATACCTGCCGAGATATTCATGTGCTACACTAAGCAACATTAATGATGAACTAATAGCACCATCCAATATGTCTGCTTGACCTTCTGATTGACTAGCTATCATATTATGCAGTTTTACTTCTTCACTAAAATATCAAAACATTGTCATGACCACTATACCAGACATATCTCAATTCTAATTACTTCTGAATCAATAAATAGGTAGAACTCAATGACCATTGAATACCGCTAGGGTTATTCAATGGTTCAAGAGAGTGTATCCCTGCGGCAGGGATACACACCAGTGAACCATTGAATAACCCGAGCGGTATTCATTGGTCATTGAGTTCTGTTTTTATTCTATAACTACATGCAAATCTCAAAATACACTGTACTATCCAGATTATCAAAAAAAATCATCACCAATTCATCATAGGTTCTGCCCTTTTTTCTTTCATTTTTACAAAAATTGTAGTTGCCTAGTGGTGACGTCATTACTGTTTGACATAATTCTGAAAGTGACATCATTCTGGACAAAAGTAGTACGTTTTCAAGCCATTGAATACAACCATAGGTTTGAATACAACCATAGGTTATTCAATGCAGGCCTTGATATAGTAGGCGATCGATCGGTCGATCGCCCACCGATCGCCTGGACGAGATTTCAGGAGAATGATAATTTGATCTCCCCAGTTATGTCGGGTGATCGTTAAAATGTTTATGGGGAACACCAATTTAAATCCACGTTTTAGTTGGCTCAGCAAAACTGTGCCCATGCAACTCACGGAGAATAGTGTTGACTAGTTTGATGGTTTCTATAACCAAATAAAAGACGTCCTGATGTCTGTTATTATGCAAGATGCCCCGGCTCAGGGAATATGATAAACGGTATCGCATCGCAGTTTGCTAAACAAAAACAACGTAAGTGCGAATCAAATATTAATCTGATTAGCAGAAATTTATCAAATTTAAGGGAATCTGCGAATCGAAGTTTCTTGTCCTGAATTAAGCGTGGAAAAAATGCTGAACAAATGTGATTTACCGTTCCCGTGATTTACCGTTCGCCTGTGTACGGACATTTTATTCCCTTTGATGTCGGTTGACGAAATTAAAAGTAGTCAAAGATTAGTCAATAAACTAATTGTAAGCTAACATTTTCACAGTCATTTAGTTCACGATCTAATGAAGTAATAAGTACAGACCTTATATTTGATAATCCGGTAAATATACAAGCTTGATAATTATTCACAAAACAGTAATTTTTATCTGTAACCATTTCCCTGCGTAAGAATTGACCATGTGTTCCCATCAGGCAACCTATTTGTCATCACGCAACATTTTAATCATTTTCCATTCACTGAACAACAAAATATTCCGTAATCTATCATCATACGAAAAATGTATCCACCCAAATCGCGCACTGTTTTTAGCTATACGCATCAGTTTAATTCTTATTCGTTGAACAAAATACTTCGCGACTAAAATGGCCTTGGTTCATTTTGGCGGGAAAAAGGGTCACGTGGATAAATAACAACAACATGGCGACAATGCGTGCATTGCATACGGATGTCGATGCTACTATGGAATTTTAAAACACCGTTTTGTAATGAAGACAGTCAATGTTTCCACAGTTATTTTGCTTTCATTTTCTGCCGTTTAAATGAAGACACGTAATTCTGGAGGAATATTACTGGCGTAAATGTGAAGCAGGTAGCCTACGATCGTACGGGTCGGTACGCTTTCACTCTCTCTATCGTATTACGAAAACATCTACTTTTCTAGGAATATTACAGACGTAAATTGAATACTCTATGGGAATTGAGGTGTGCCAATTTTTTTTTTTGCCTTTTGTATTCAGAACACTATATTATGCTAAATAGGCTAACATAAAGCTATTCGTAATTTAAGCCTATTAAAGGGGAAGAAAGCCTCTTATACACACATAAACATTAATTGTAGTGTAGTCCATACCGGTAGAAATTATGGCCTACAGAAATCGTTCAATACAATACCGTGAAAATTTACTTGTTTGCTATTCAATCAAGAGGAACTGCTAATCAATTTTCAAACATTCAAACATTCAAACAACATCATGCAATCTCTAGTTTTAGGTGATCGATTCAGGTGATCGATTGGTCACCTGGTTGATACCTCAGGTGATCAAAAAATTGATCACCTGGACCAAAAATCAGGGGATCGATTTATTGATCACCCTGTGCCGTCTTATTTCGAGGCCTGCAATGGCTGTATTCAATGATGTTTGCTTGTATTTGCATGTAGCTATAGAATAAATTATAAGTATCAAGAAATAATTCACATTTCTAAAATTTTAACACAATGTACTGTAACTCAGATACCTGAAAGATCATAAAAAAAACCCAATAAATGTGGAAGTGTATATATTCTATATAATAACTATAGAACTTACACAAGTGTATTATTCTATATAATAAAATATAGAACTTACAAAGGCAAATTCCATATATAGAACTTACAAGTGTATATATTCTCTATAATAAATATAGAACTTACATGTGTATTACAGAACTTACAAGTGTATATAAAAAACTTACAAGTGTATATTACAGAACTTACAAGTGTATTATTCTATATAATAAATTCCATGGTATTACTGTTCCTATTGGCATATCAACAACATTTACAGATACATCCATCATAATCTCTATAGTCTTCATTAGATTCTGACAAAATCGGATTTTATTCTTTGACGGTAACTTTTTACAGGATGAAGCATCTTTCTCAAACACCCTAAAACAAAAAAATAGTTTGCCAGGCAATGAGACATGTCCACAGCAGCTAAACCGTCCGATCTTTCAATAAAGGCTGTTGCGTTGTGAATCTTTATGTTAATTAAAAAAAAGCAAAATCTGTATAATGCTAGGGCTTTCACAAGACTACATGACATAATCAACAGTATAAAACTTTACAAGTAGGCTACTGTCAAAATAAACTTGAAAGTAAGAAACTCTCACAATAAACAACAAAAATACTATCAAATTTGGTTCACCCAAAATGAAACCTGAATCACACAACAAGAAAGACAATTCATGAAAAAGGAAATATTTGCTAAACATTGTATTATTGTAATAAAAGTAATGATTGATTGTTTAGATGATATCTTAATGACAGCACCCTGATAATTAGATAGTAATTAATAAGAGTTAAAAACATTATAAGCGTTAACTTGTCAGTCGAATCACATCATTTAAATTACAAGGATCCAAAAATTGACCCCAAGACCTTATGTTGAAAGACCATCAAGCTATATTGAAGTAATATAGAAGATTATTGATCAAGATTTATAAATAATATATTGCAAATTTCAAATATAAAAAACTTTGTTAATTGTTGAACTTACTTGTGTAATGTTGACAATACTTCTGTCATGGTTTTATTCCATTCTTCGCGTTGTACTGGTGTAGGTGCTTTACGATAGTAATATAATGATTCATTTAACAATACTTCACCCCACAACACACATTTCTACAATAAATAATATACAAAAACTGTATTTTATGAAGCAATATTACTTTAATATAAGAGATAAGAGTGGCTATTAACAGCTGGTTATCCATGGTTACTAATTGGCAGGGTTACCAGGGCTGGCCGCTTGACAGGGTTTGCGAATTTATTACTGGTGGCGATAGCTTGCTTACCAGGGTTGTACAGAGGTTTGACAACTTGGCGGGGTTGTACAGAGGTTTGACAACTTGGCGGGGTTGTACAGAGGTTTGACAACTTGGCGGGGTTACCGGGGTGGGCCTCTTGATGGGGTTTGCAAATTTGTTACCAGGGTCGGTAGCTTGCTTACTGGGGTTGTACAGAGGTTTGACAACAGATCATTTAGATTGAAGTACTAGTGTCCATAATTTTGCTAACTAGGATGCCTTAAGTTGGTTTGTAACATTGTTACTTGTCATAACAATAAAGGGATAGTATATAGACAAAGGTGTTAAGGTAACACCCGTGAGCTAAATATAAATCCAAAGTTGGAACACTCAGGGTTAGAGCATTGTAAAACAAAAATAACGAAAGCATCAGTAACGCTGCAATATACGTCCACATTCCTGCTTTGATCGATATGGTGCTTTTTAAAATGAAGAGAATGAAATATGAAATGGCTGTAAAATGACAAGAGGCAAAGAAGGCTAGGCATTGGGTTTGTTTTGCCAAATTTACAGAAAAAATATTAACAAAAAAGTGGGTGTGACACCACCCAGTGGTTCGGTGCATGCACCAAAATAAATAGTTGCTGTCTTTACGGTATAAGGAATAAATATGCAAAGTTCAAAGATGATCCATTCAGAATTGCAACATGTAGACGATAAATACCAATATTGGGCATAGCTCTGCCCCTAGGGGTTGGATATGGAACAATATAAATAGGTATCACCTTGTTATTGAAATGATTGATATGCTGAATTTGAACAAAATCTGTTAATTATTGCAACCTGTAGAGTATTTACATATAAAAACTAAAAAGATAGGTTGTCAGGCAACGAAACATATGCCCACAGCAGCTATATCATCCAGGAAGTCAACAAGAGTTGTCACATATTTTTACTTTTTTCGGTAATGAAACATTTATTATACATTAAAATCTGATTAAGAGTAACAACTCATTAAGTAATTATCAGAAAACCATTAGAATTTGTTTGGTTTATATGAAGTTCTGCCCCATGCCAACGTTTAGTATACGACACTTTTAACATCATGGATATTGAAAATCAATATACTTGGTCGTCTCAAGACCTTAAACTCTATGTATCAATCTGAAGTCAATCGGATGATAACTTTAGCCTCTAGAGCGTCACAAGATTTTTCAAAGTGATCAAGGGCCATAACTTTGGCAGTAATTATCCGAAATTGTTGAAAATCAATATGATTCTTCATCTCATGGCCTCAAACACTGTGTATAAATTTAAAGTCAATCGGATATTAACTTTAGCCTCTAGAACATCTAAAAGATTTTTCAAAGTGATCAAGGGCCATAACTCTGGCAGTAATTATCGAAAATCGTTGAAAATCAATTGGCTTCTTCGTCTCATGACATTAAACACTGTGTATAAATTTAAAATCAATCGGATATTAACTTTGACCTTTGGAGTGTCCACAAAATTTTTTTAAGTGATCAAGGGCCATAACTCTGGTATTAATTATCAAAAATCGCTGAAAATCAATAGGCTTTTTCGCCTCATGACCTTATTAACTTTAGCCTATAGAGCGTCCACAAGCAATTGTGGATGCCGGACCGCCAACAATATACTACCACATTTGAATGTGGGCGTATAAAAAGGGGGTGTGATACCACACCCCTGGGGGTCGGGACATGCACCAAAATAAATAGTTGCTATCCTTACAGTATAAGGAATAAATATGCACTAACGTCAATAGTTGCTGCCCTTAGGGTATAAAGAAAAAGTATACTAAATTTCAAGATAATCCATTCAGATTTGTGGCCTTCTGCCCCTGGGGGTTAGGGCATTCACTTAAATCAATAGTTGCCACCCTTAGGCTATATGGCCTGTAAACGATAAACACAAAAATTGGGCGTGGCTCTGCCCCTGGGGGTCAGGACATGTAGTTGTCGTCCTTAGGCTATAAGTATAAGGAATACATATCCCAAGTTCCAAGACAATCCATTAAGAATTGTGACCTGTAGCCAACACACAGAGAAACAAAGAAAAATGGGTGTGGCACTGTCCCTTGGGGTCGGGCAAAAACCAAAAAACAATAGGGGTCATCCTTAGGGTATAAGGAATAGCTATGCAAAGTTTCAAAATGTATTTCGTCTGCTTTGATGTTTTTATGCGTGCTCACTACGTTTTTCAAAATGGGTGTGGCGCTGTTGCTGGGGGTCAGGCAAACACCAAAAAACAATAGGGGTCATCCTTAGGGTATAACGAATAGGTATGCAAAGTTTCAAAATGTATTTTGTCTGCTTTGATGTTTTTATGCGTGCTCACTGCGTTTTTCAAAATAAACAGATCAAAGTTATGGGCATGTGAGACATATAATATATAGTGCATTTTGGCGCATAATGTCGACGTGAATGGCTTTTCCTTTTTTCTTCCAATTCCTCTTGAGAATGGCTGGGCTCGAATGTTTGTATGGCATTACACTGTAGACCTATAGGAGAGTTATTTTATATTCCAATACGTTGTGCCCGAGGGGTTTAAAATTATATAGGTACGAATTAATACCAACTGGTTTATTTATATGAGAGACAAGGTTTGGACTATGCCTTGGAAAATGAAGTAGAGGCGACTGGTATATAATTGGTCTCTCTTTTGTGGATCGAGATGAGATTGTCCATTGTATTAACTTGATACATACCTGCATGTCTCCATGTTTAAATAAAGCTTTCTGTAGTAGTTTCATCTGATTATGTCTTTCTGGTGGGGAGATACAGGATTGGGGCGTCTGTTTAATAAAGAAAATAAACAGAAAACATTCAACAGTAAGTTCAAATGTTTAAAATAAAAAGATTACAAAACAATGATTAAATGCATATGAAATCCTTGATTTGGAAAACACATTTGAACTTTTACATCCCCCCCCAAAAAAAACCCACCTAAAATTAGTTAACAAACCAACTTCTCTTGACACTACTGTATTAAAATTTAATTCAAACAGACTTGCCCTTTCACTATTTAAAATAACAGATCAGAAAAACGTAATTCAATATTCTATTTTGACCTAAACAAGCCAACAGTGAGGCCGAAATAGGAAAATAATTAGAGGACACATATAAATTTATCACAAATTATCTTTTACAAAGTATTGAACAATCAAACAGTATATCTTTACTTATAGTCTAACAATCAAAGTAGGAGAGTTATTGTTTTCCAAAGTCTCGACCAATCAAATTGCGTATCGCTCTGCTTACCCTGAGCAGAAAATGCTCATTATCAAACTTAGTCAAGGTATTACTGTAATGAAACTATACACCAAGTTTCATCAATCTCACTTAATTAGAACTAAAGTTATCGTGTCCCAAAGCATCAACCAATCAAATTGCTTATCTCTGCTTACCCTAAGCGGAAAATGCTCATCTTCGAACTCCATCAAGGCATTGACCTAATCAACACATACACCAAGTTTGAACATTCTAGCTCAATTAGGAAGAGAGTTATCGTGCCCCAAAGTATCAACCAATCAAATTGCTGCTTACCCTGAGCAGAAAATGCTCATTATCAAACTTAGTCAAGGTATTACTGTAATGAAACTATACACCAAGTTTCATCAATCTCACTTAATTAGAACTAAAGTTATCGTGTCCCAAAGCATCAACCAATCAAATTGCTTATCTCTGCTTACCCTAAGCGGAAAATGCTCATCTTCAAACTCCATCAAGGCATTGACCTAATCAACACATACACCAAGTTTGAACATTCTAGCTCAATTAGGAAGAGAGTTATCGTGC